AAGTAGGATGTTTATAATTAAAAACAAAAGGTTAAAATTGTAGATATTATGATAATAAATGTTAAAATGAAAATATTTAAGATTATAAAAATAGTAAATGTAGAGATATAATTATGATAAATACATATGAATTTTGTGAATAAACAAGAGATATAGAATGTAAATATGATCAATTAAATAATGCTTGTATTTATGCAAATTTAGAATCATAAGATTTAACATGTCCAAGAGGATTAAATAAATTAGCATGTATACCTAATAATTCAAATTCTAAATAATGTTAATTTTTTAATTATTGTTATGGTTAAAATTAAGATATATTAGATTGTGATATTAATGATATTGAATGTTGTTAAAAAGCATTAACTATTGAATCTTGTTTATTTTAAACTAAATTTAAATGTTAATGGAATAATTAATGTACTTATTATAATTAATAATAATCAAATACAATTTTATGTAATTAAATATAAAATGCATCAAGAAATGTATGTTATTCACTTATTGATAAATTTTGTATTTTTGATTAAATTAATTTAAAATGTTAAGAAATTATTCCATTAACATGTGATTAAGTATAAAGTTAAGAATAATGTAAAAGAATTCCTAAAATACCATGTTATTGGAATTAAAATGAATGTTAATTTAAAAATAATAATATTTCAGATTCATGTGAATATATTACTTAAATGCATGGTAATTAAAAAGCATGTATTTAAGTATAAAGATATGGATAAATGTGTGCTTTTATTCATTATTAATGTTAATCATTCATTGAAATCTAAAATACTAATAATTGTCTTGATTACATTAATCAAAATGCATGTTTATAATAAACTATATCATAATGTTATTGGGATATAAATGTAAATAATGATAGTAATTCTTCAAATAATTAATGCAAGCCTTTTGAATAATAAAGTTCATAAAAATGTGAAAAAAATCTCAGCTATTTATCCTGCTTAAGCATTATAACAAATAATACTTATTGCTAATGGATAAATGAATAATGTGAGTCAATTACAAGTGATATTAATAATAAATTTGTATTGAATACTACTTCACAAGTCAATATTCATGTTTGTAGTTTAATTACTGATAAAAAACCTATTATGTATAATAAAATCAATAAAATATGTTAAGAAGTAACTGATTTTGATAAATTAACTTGTAATCCTCCTTTAATGGGAATTAATATGTATTCTTGTATTTCAATAAAAAATGAATTATGTTTTTGGCATTAAAAAACTTAAACTTGTAAAGCAATAATAAATTTAAAGAATAAGATTGCTAAATAAGAAGAACTTATTCAGACTACTTGTTAAATAATAGGACGTACTCCAACATCTTGTTCTCTATTGAATTTTTAAATGCCTTGTGGGGGATCTTAAGTAGGTTGTGATTATGTTAATTTAGAGACAGCTTAATGCAATTAAGTAGGTTTAAATAAATATGCATGTCTAAATTTAACTAGTTAATCATGTAAATGGGTTTTAAATTAAAAACTTAATATTTATTAATGTTAAGAATATACTCCTTTTGGTTTATGTTCTGAATAACCATAATAAGTAAATGCATTAGTATGTTCTTTGGTTGGTCATAATGATCCATGTACTTATAATAAATTTTCAAATTCATGTTAATGGCCATTAGAATAGGAAGAAAGCTGTGATATGATTGGATTAAATTAATATGGTTGTGCTTAGATTGAAAATTGTGTATTTTTTAATGGAAAATGTATAAAATTCAATGAAGATTTAAATTTGAATTGTAAAGATGCAGATAAAGCTCATTATAAGGTTTGTGCATAAATAAAAAGAGATTAATGTAAGTATAGTGAATTAAAAAAAGGATGTATATCTACTGATTTATTTGATGGATGTTAAGCGAAAGGCATAAATTAATTAGGATGTAATGCAAAAGATCCAATGTGTTCTTGGGTTGAGAACAATTGTGAGTGTGTAAAATTATTAAAAGAGAAAATACCTTGTTATCAAATTTAAAATCATTATGATTGTTAATAAAGGAATGATTGTTATTATGTTAATTCTTATAAATCAAATATTGATACAGATGTAATAAAATTAGGAAATTAAGGTAGATGCAAAGAAAAGTAATGTAGTGATAGGAGTAAAAGTGAATGTGAAGGTTAAATAGTTTATGGACATATTTGTTATTTAGATAAGTAAGGTATATGTTAATCAGCTCATGATTGCAAGGATATTAAAAATGCTGTATAATAATGTTCAAATTATTTAATAAAAGGTAGTCCTTGTATGGAGAATATAAATAATGTTGGTGAATGTGAAATATTAAAGAATTGTTAATAATTAGATATGATTAATTGTTAAAGGAATCTAGATTATTGTATTTATAATAGTGATAAATGTATGAATAAACAATGTATAAATTATATGGATGAGAATAATTGTCCTAAATTAAATTGTTATTGGAATTATATTAAGAAAAGATGTTTAGAACAAATTAGTTGTGAATTAAATGAATCAGAAAAAGTTTGTAATGAAAGCCATAATGGAAATTAAAAATGTGGATGGTTTAAATTAGATGGATATTAACATGTTTGTACATCTGGATGTAGATATCTATATTAAGCTCATGTTAATTGTTAGGGTACTCAAATTAGAGATTCTGTTTGTATTAATTATAAAGATGTTTGTATTCAATGTGAAGAAATTACAGATTCATGTCTTTGTTTGGAATAATAGGAATATTGTACTTATGATATTAATAGAAATATATGTTAATCTAATGGATGTTAAAATTACAATTAGGATACTTGTCCTACTTCAAGATGTTATTTTAATTTAAATAAAAATGTAATTAATTTTAATTTATTCATAGATTTGCATACAATAATGTAGATTCAGATACAATAATTAGGAATGTGAACTATTGAATGATTGCTATTGGGATTATATAGAAAACTAATGTCTTGAATATTACAAAAGTCCTTAACCTACAGTAGTAAATCCTTCAATTATTCCAATAGAAGAATTATTAATCAAAGCTCTTTTAGTAATAAGTTTATTAGTAATAATATGAGAATTTTATCAATTTATATATGAAGCATAAACATTACATACAAATAAAATATTCAATTTCTTATCAGGATTATGATTAATCCTCCTCTTTGTACATATCTTATGATTCTTATTACATCATATTTGTTAAATTAGAAAAAGCACTTTAATATTGTGTTTTTATAATATTTTCTATTACTGGGTTTTTTAAAGCTTCAAATAAAGCTGCCTTTAATTTAGAATTGTCAAACTCTAATAATTTAACCTAAAATATTCTCTAATGTATTACTTTTTTATTTATTTTCTCATATTCTTATTAAAGTGGTCCAATCTTCTCTAATGCTTCTCTCTTTCTTTTTTATGCTTCTCTTGCACTATCTCTATTTCTCTTTATGCATTAACATCTTTTACAATTACAAAATTCATCTTCTTTACTTCTACATTTATTCTTTATTTTTTCTATCAATCTAGCATAATATTCCAAAGGATTTTTTTATGGTTCTTCAGATCTATAATATATTAATAATTATTTTACATTTTATTTTCCAATACTATTTAGATAATTGAATTTTCTATTCTTACTAAATCCACAAACATAAATAAGATTTTTTAAAGTTTTTCATCTAATCTATTAGAATTGAATATAAATTCTTTGCAATCTATTTATTAAGAATTCAAGAATAATCCATTTAATAATTACTCAATCACTTACTTTTGATCACAATTCTAGTATATTTTAATTATATTCAAGTACTAAATACAATAATTTAATTATTATACCTTTTCAGCATGATGCTCAAAATTTCCATTTACATTAAATTATTTTTAATTCTCAATTATTTACTCAATTAGATTTGATTAATGAAAGTATTAATTACTTTTTTAAAACATCTTTTCTAAAGATATCTAACAAGATTATTTAGTCATTGTATTCTTGTCTTCTTCACATAAAAATTTGTATAAAAATTCATCTGATCTATTTTCTTATCCCAATAAATCATTTAAAGTTTAAAAACTTATCTATTGAGCATTTCCACTCTCACTTTAAGTATGTAATTTCTTGAATATCACTTTCCTTATTATACTACTAAATAATAAAGATTGACTAATAATTCCAATTTAAGAATCTATATAAAAATTATAATCAATACCATTTGTACAACATATATCATTTGCTCCAAGACAAACTAACTTTTTACTGATTAATTCACATATTAAATCCCATTGCTTTTAATCTATAACAATTGAATTTGGATCCTTTATATAATTCAATGTGATTTCATCTTAATCTGAAGAACATTATTTCATTAGATATATAAATATGTTAGCTATATATTTAGCCAAAATAGGCATTTTAGATGATGGAATAGAGTCTTTTATAGAAATCTATATTCCTTTTTATAAAATCTGTTCTAACAATTATCTTATTTTTTATTGTAAAATGGCATTCTAGTTTTAAGTGCCACTTTATAATTTCAATAATTGTGCCTACATGATCTAATTTTGAGCTTGAATTAACATAAATTATTAAACACTATACACTTAAGACTATATTATTATGACATTAAATACCATATAAGAGATATAGGAATCTATTTTATCAGTTGGAATGCTTTGATTAACATTTAGAGGTAAGAATGGTTTCATTCAATTTTTGTTTTTATTTATTGTAAAATTTTTAAACTTATCCAACTATATCAACTCAAATTAATACGTATTACGAATAATTTTAATTAGAAAAATGAAAAATTTTAAAGATTATTTCATATTTGTAATCAAATATACAATTAATTTTATAAAATCACTAATTAAATTTTATTTGTGCTTAACAAACACCCTCCCTTTTCTATCATAAATAAAATTAAATCAAATATCTCATATTTAATAATCTTATTTAATTATTACACAAACAGAACCATTAAATTCAAAATTGTACACAATTAAAATTGTTATCAAATTTTTATTCATTAAACAATTTTAATTTCATAATTAATATAATTATTATTCATTAAATAATAAAAAGATCAATTATATTACTTAAAAACCTAATAAAACATACCATTTATTAATCTATATGAAATAATCCATGTTCCTATTAATAATAAACCATAAATTCATCTTCAATATATAAAATAATATTAATCAACTTATTCAATCAAATAATATATTTATTTAAATAAATTTAAGAAATACTTATCCTATATATTGTTAATTATTTACTAATATTCATAATCATTTTTTTAAATTATATATTATAATAATAATCAGATAAATATTGGAAAGTCTTTAATTTATTATTAATAATCTTGTCAAAATATCAACAGTTAGTAATTTTTGATTTTTGAGAATTACTCAAACTTAAAATAGGTTTAGATTTATGAGGAAGGAATTTTAATAAAAAAGAAATATTAATCAATTATTAATCTTTCTTAGTCTGATTTTTAGAAAATTAATTCTACAAAGATGAAATATAGTAAAAATAACCCTTTTTATTGCCAAAATTGAATACCTAATTATATATTACTAGATGAGAAATATTTAAATTTAAAGAAAAATCTCAAAATTTTATATGAGTATTTAAAAAGTAGAGGTTTGAGTGATGAAAGAAATTACTACAATTATAATTCATTCAACTTTTATTATTATTATAATAATTAGAGTTGAAAAATATATGAAATATTATATTAAAGAAATATGGAAAATAAATAGTAAAAAATTGATATAATTGAGAGATTAAACAACTTAATATATAGATATAAGAATGAACTAATTTAGAATATTAATAAAATATATATTAATCAAAATATGTTTCTTTTTGCTATATTGATGGGTCTTCTTTAGATATCTTAATCTTTTGATAAACCTGCAGTTCTATCAGTTTATGAGTATCCACTAAATGCTGAAAATCTCTATTTTTATTCAGTTTAATATAAGGGTTTAGATGTAATATTTTATATGTTGGAAACATTGGTTTAATTAGATGAGGCAGCAATTCTAGAATTTTGAATAGTCCCTTGATTAATTTAAAATTGATTATGACTTTGTAAATAATCAGCATTTTATTTTCCAAAGATTATATGATTAGGCTTATTAGATCCATTTTGCTAATCATGTTACCAACTAGCTAAAACTACATATTGCATTTGTTCAGTTTCAACATGTTCTTCTTCAGATTATGGTTAACTTTCGTTTTAATATTGATTATCGGATTAACAGGTTCCCATTATTTAAGAATAAAAGTAAATAAATTTTATCAATTAATTAGTAAATAATGATAATTTTCATATTAAAGCTTTAAGTTTAGTAATTGTATTATTGAACCAAGGAATTTCTTTCAAAATTACTGGTGTTAAAGCAGTTCTGAAAGTGAGATCCATAATATTTTGATAAATGATAACTTCTGTATGATTAAGTTATATTTATTTCATTAAAATAAGACTCATTTTTTAACCTAAATTCTTATAAATTTATAGTACCTTTTTGATCACATTTTAATTTATAGTGATTTGGTAATTATTTAGTATTTGGTACAATAGTGATTTGATATGTTGAATCATCAATTTTAATAATTTCTTAATCACTAACAAAAGCCATTTTTTTAAATGTAGATTTATCTTCCCAAACATAGTATTCTACAATAATACTTTTATTTTCATTAATCTATTCCAAAATATCCTTTTATATCATTCCATGAAACCATTATTATTTAAAATCAGTAAATATTTTAATGGCTTTATCAATTGAACAATCAATTGGATGAATAGTTTTAACAAATTAACCTTATAGATGATACATTATATGTCGTTCACATTCTTTTTATAATTATGAATGAATATACCCTAAACATATTTCCAATTTAAATTCATTTAACTTATTTCTACTAATTAATCAAGTGTAGGATCCTATTCTAATATAGCATACTCAATTGAATTAGATTTAGTAGGCAAGAATTCTTATAAGTTTTCATTACTATCTTTTAATTATTTAACTTCTTCATTCATTTTATTTAAGTAAGTTTAAACATAACAATCATATTCTCTAATAGCTTCATCATCAACTAATAAATAAGTAATCATTTAATTTTTCAATTGATTTTATTAAATGTATTTATGTAAAATCATTAATGAATCTTATTTACATAATTTTTGTTGTCCACATATATGAGATTATATTTTCATTGTTCTAAATTATTTAATACTAATTTCACTTAATAATTTAATTGCTTATTCAGCATCTATATAATTTTTAGATATTACTTGGATTATAATCATATTCTAATATTTTTCTAAAGAACTAGAATCCATTAATACAACTAATATGACTTTACATATCATTAGTTTAAATGGAGAGTATTTACATAATTCCTTATAATTCTCTTTCATCATCTCCAATTAATAATACTTTTAATAGTAATGGAGATATCTATTAAATTTTACCAAAATAATACTTCTCCATCTTTCTAAGATTATTATATTCAATAATTTACTAAAATATTTTGCATCTTTCATTAATTGTTTCATTTAATTTCTATAAATAATGAAATATCATTTATTCAGCTTAATTATTCGGTTATATTTTTTTTGGACCTATATCTAAAAGATCACATAAAGCATTTTCATCTTTACTAAATTAATGCATTTTAACATTTTGATCAAAACCCCCTTTCTAAAATTACTCTATATATTTTGTTTTATAAATACATTTAATTTTAAGAAAATCCAAAAATACATATAATGTATGGTCTAAATGTTGTAACAAATATTATAAAAATTCTAATATAAATCAATAATTATACTTTCAAGCATTTCTTATCTTTTTGCAATTGTTTTTCTAGAATTTGTTTAAATAACTTTTTTTGAAGGGAACTTAGGCATTTCTCTTTAAGAAATTGGTATCTAAGTTTCATTGAATTTATTTACTTAGTCATATAATTTCTCAAATTCAGAATATCTTTTTGGAATTGTATAATCAAAATAATCTGTTCTTATTTAAATTACATAATTCACAATATGATTTTTAAAAATGGATTCTCTATCTTCTTCTTTAAAGATTTTGATAATTCCTATATCTTTAATCATATGGTTATTGACAATTAAAGAATATAATTCATTTGCATCACATTCTTTTTAATTTAGTTGTTTTGTCAATATAGTTGGTCTCTCTGATTGTTATCTAAAGAATGTCGGTGCAGAATCATGAGTAAAACTCTAAGACAGAATCTATTTCATAAAAATATTAATAAAATTTACAATTATTGTTATTTACAACTTAATTGAAGTGTAAGAATATTTTAAATTATTTCATAATGTGTTAAGAAGCCATTTTAACATGGTTTAAAAAGATTTTAAATATCAATTGTGGAACACTCTACATTGACTTAATAGATGGAATTATCGTTGAAAAACTCTTAAATTAATTCAATTAAGAATATTTTCCTATCAAAGCTGAATAATATTCAGATTCATAATTTGTATTTAATTATGCAAGAATCAAATCCCTCATTGAAAATATGTCAAACTTTAATTCAACTCTTCAAGTCATTACTCCTTTAAAAATAGTAGAAGGGAATGATGAAAACGAGTTAAATAAATTTGTGTTTAACATCATCAAGGTATTTCAATCACATATATATAGATTAGGTAATCTATGAGTGGGATAAGGCTAAAGAAGCTCTAACTTATTTAAGAAATGATCAAATTTAATATATTCTTGATTTCTTTAATAAAGAAGAATTCGGTTATCAATAACAAATATTATATAAGTAATTGATTGAATATGAAACTATCAATAACAAATAAGAGATAGAAATCAATTCACTATAATCCAAAATTTTAGTATTAGAAACAAATATCCAAAAATTATAAAATGAATAATCAAATTTAAAAGAAGAAAATATTTCATTGAAAAATTGTAAGAATATAATTTTTTATTTTATATTTAGAAATAGAAAAATTGTAAATGAATGAATTAGGACAAAATTAGGATATTACAATTAATTTTTTAAAATAAGAATGTTTAAATTTGTAATTGATTATCAATAATTTAGAAAAAAGGAATGAACTGTATGATACATTCATATATATCTAGACAATAATAATAAATCTAAATATTAATTTAGTTTGAACAAAAGTCTAAAGATCTTGAATAAGAATTGTAAAATTAATAAAATAAAAAAATCATTATTGATGAATTGTAAGAAAAGAATTAGATATTAAAGGAATAAGTGAAAGTATATGATAATTATTCAAAAGTCTAAAAAGAAAATTTTAATTTTATTAATTATAATACTACAAATCATATATAATGTGAATAAGAAATACTTAAATTAAAAAATATAATTACATAATAAGAATAATAAATCAAAAATTAGTTTTAAATTAAATAATATACATAAGAAACTCCAAAGATTCCAAAACCTAAAGTTAATTGTTTATCAGAATAAAAATAAAAAAAACCAACTTGTTTTGATGATAAATTATAGAAATAAAATGATATGTTAAGATAAATTATATCTAAATTTGAAATTTAATAATAATCTACATTACATTCTTTGAATAAAACTTAGAGAGGGAAATCTTTAAATAATTGATTATATAATTTAAAATATTTAATATTATTAATATTATTATTATTATATAAATATTATACTTTATATTATTTCTATATTAAATAAAATTTGAATTAAAACTTTACATTTTTTAATTCACATTTTAAGATATTTGATTTATCTTAAAATGTGAATTAAAAATTTTAAATAAATCCTCTATAATTATTGTTTTTATAATATATTTAATATTATTATACTGATCATCACTTTTTCTTTCCTTTTTTACCACCAGCGGCACCTCCAGCTGCAGCTCCTCCTGCTGGGGCTGCTGCTGCTGCAGCTGCTGCTTTAGCTGCTTATTATTTTTTGATAGCTTCTAAATTGGCTTTGATCTAAATAATTATTAATAAATTCTTACAGTTGCTTCATCCATTCTAAATGTTTAATGACATGTACCACAATAGTGTCTATCAAAATGCTTAGCCATATATACACCTTATGGACATTATGGACATTGTTTGTGAGATCTTTAAACAACACCTTTATTGTCAATGGTATATAGCTTAAGTGTTGCCAATTTTAATTTTCGGTGTCGGTGCTTCTTCTTTTTGGGTTTAGCAAAATTCTTCTTCTTCTTCTTTTTCTTCTTTCCTCCTTCTGCATCAACAGTTACATAATAAATTCCATCATTTCCTATAATTAATGAGTGGTTGTAATTACCTAATAATGCAGATGCTGCTACAGCTTCTCCAGAATTTACCAATGAAACTTCACAACCCAATTCAGATTGAATAAGTTACATTAAATGACCAGCTGAGGTTTAATCAGCTAAATCATATAGTTTAACTTCACCATTAAGGTGACCAACTTTTATGATCATTTTAAAAATTAAAGATTTTAATTTAAAATAAATGGCAAGAAATTTATATTCAATGAATAATTTCTTAATTTCTTTATAAATAGACAAAGCCATGATTATTACACAAATATAATCAACCAAATAAAATGTCTGGAATCATTTGAAAACTGACAATTGGAGATGTTTTCAATAATCTTAGAGCATCATTAAGGAATTTTTAGGCTTCACTATTATTATTTTATAATTGATTCAAAATACCTAATCCTAAACTACAATATAATCACACTTATTTTACCAAATTTCATATGTTTTTTCAAATTTCGATGCAGCAATCAATAATTCACTAGCTCTTTATATTTTACTATCTTTATAATGTTTCAGATATAATAATCCTAATCTAGACATAGCTCTAACATGATAAAAGTCTGTTCTTAACACTTCCTCATAATAATGACATGCTACATCAATCTTATCTTTTTTCTCTTCCAACAATCCTTACTAAAAATTTCAATATAAATATTTTACATAAAACAATTTTTCATTATCATTTGATTCATTACCATCATCAACTAATTCTAATACTTGATTAGCTAAATCAAAAATTTGTAACTTTATTAGAATGTCTATAGTATTAAATATACACTATATATTATTATTTTTTATAATACATTTCTATAATTGATATATGTAAGAGGATCTATATCAAAATTTTACATACTCTTTAAAGGAGGTAATTGAAATATGAATTAATCATTTTAATCAAATTCATACATTTTTTTTGAAACTCCTAATAAAAATTTCTTAAGATTTTATAAAATTGACTAAACTTCTTTTGATTTTTAAAATTTTTTGATAACAAATTATTTTAATTCTTCACTTATATTTTAAGCATATTACAATTCTTTCTCATTAAATAAATTTAATAGATAAATTTCTGTTAATACTGAAGCTTTAATAAAATATAATAATGGACTTTATTTTATTATTAATAATGATGATATTATTTATAAGGCAGTTTAATTTTCATGTTAAGTTTAATAGAGAAGAGCTCTTAAAATCTTAAAATTAATCTCAGCTCCACATAATCTACAAGCTTAATCCACATGACAAAAAGCTTTTTTAATATCTCCAGTTATTGCAAGTAATTTTCCATAATTATATTAAACAAGATGATTATCAGAATTTTATTCAATACTCTTTTAATAATATTCTAATGCCTTTATATAGAAATGCTCCTTTTCAAAAACATATTTAGCTGACTTTCCTAGATTATAAAAACAATAACCAATTTAAGCCAATAAAGTATCAAGTGTTATTATACCTTTATCATAATCATTATAATTCATTCTTGCAAAACATAAGGCTTCCTAATTAAAATTAATATATATTATTACTTCTCCTTTGCCAAGATAAATACCTGTAAACATTACACACATACTAATTATTACAGGTCTAAATTCATGATCTTTAATTTATTCACTTGCTAATAAAGATTGAATCATTTAATGCAATTTATTGTAATCATCAGTATTAAATAATATTATACACATATTCATTCTTAAAACATCATCTTCAAATGGAGTAATCAATAAATCTTCTAATATTTAATTCATTAATTAATATTTATTGTATCTTACACAATATATATTTATTAATGAATATACATTATGAGATATCAATTTCTTTAAAGATTAATTTAATTTAATATTTTATTATGTGAAATTGACAGCTACATAATACCATAATTGATCAATAAATGGAATATCTGGATGTTCTTTCTTTATTTTATCCTCTAAATTCTTTTAAAAAATATGTTCCTTTTTTAAATTTATTTCTGAAAGCATAAAAAATAAAAGAAATTCAAAAAATTATAACCATGATTCAAAATTTGGTATTTTATTAATTTTATCATGACTTATTAAAATACTTAATATTTTAATGTGTTCTTCAGGTAGTTTTTCACTAATAATTAATTTATAAAATACTTTGAATCTAATTTAGGAAATACAATTTTTGCTAATGAATAGATTATTGTAATTCTTAATTAGGAATCTTAAAAGATTTACATTAAATCATTGTTTATAAGACTATTTAATTATTCAAAATATTTATAAATATTTCTATCTAAAATTGATAATATTTGAATTAAACATAATCTAAATAGTTCTTTTAAAGGTTTTCTAAGAATTAAAAAATACTCTTAATTATTTGTTATATCCTTGGCAACTTCTATAAATGCTTTTTACCACATAATTAATTCATTATAAGTCTAAAATTTCATTGACTTTTTTTATTTAGGACTTTAAATCAATTTATATATAACTTCTAACCAACCTACCTTTCTTTAAAAATCCTATTTTGGTAATTTTGATAATTAAATCAAATATGGCTAAAAAGTTGGATAAGTCAACTCATTCTCAAAAACTTATTTTGTTATTTGATTATCATCTCTCATAAAATTCAATAATGAATATTTTGTTGATTCAATGTCCATAACATATAGGTTTTCAACTTAATACTAATCTACAAAATGTTGATTGTTCAATGTATTGTCTGGTAAAAATGGTTATGTATCTGACAATTCTGATAGTTATTCGCATTTAAAGTTTATTAATTAAGAATAACTGTCTTTTTCTCCTTTAATTAGTTCTTTGACTTTATCATAATCTCTTATCAATAATTAATAATCCATTATATTTTAATTATTTTTTATTAACTACAATATACATATAAAAAATTAGAATGAATTTTCTTTAAAGAGAATTATTAATAGTATTTGATATATCTATAATGATTAATTCAAAATGAGATTTTAATAAAAGTGAAAGTATATTTTAAATTGAGTTTTATAATGATAATAACACTTAATAAAGGTAAATAAGAGTTTCTAAATCATATAGTATAATATCTATACATATAACTGATTTTTGAATAATCATTTGTATAATATGGTTTTTAAGTAAAAAAAATATATATATTGAAAATTATATCTATTAATGCAACAATCGAATTAGTTAATTATTACAGTAGCAACTATCTTAGATGAAATAATAAAAGAGACAGATGCTTTAGAGATTGAGTAAGAGTCACAATCCTATTTCCATGCTAACAAAGCACCTTCAATATCAATTCACAATTATTTATAAAGAATTTCAAAATATACTCATTGTAGTGAATAATGCTTTGTTATTGCATTAATTTACTTAGATAGGTTATAAGAAAAACACCCATATTTAGTACTCAATTCTAAATGTATACATAGGTAAATTAATTTAAATATTGAAGATTCCTTTTGTTAGCTATTGTAATAGCTATAAAATATCAGGATGATGATTATTATAAGAATGAATATTATGCAAAAGTAGGAGGGATAAGTGTTAAAGAGATATTTGTTCTTGAATAAGAATTCTTAGAGTTAATGGACCATTAATTGTTTATTGATGAACAATATTATTTTCTTTATGAAAAGAAATTGCTTGAATATGAAGAGATTGAAATGCCTTGATAATTGTGTTTATTTGTTTATTATTTTGTGTTTTTTATTATTATAATATGAATTATACTATTAGTTATTCATTTGTACATCTTAAATAATATCTCTTATATTTAAAACTATAGAGACAAACAATTAAATAAATAAAATTTGGAATAACGAACTTATGATAAATTTTAATATATTTTTAAACTGTTATTATGAATTCCAATTAAAAATAATATAATCAAGATAATAAAGATTCTCTTGAATTTATCCATATTTGATCTCTATCTGGATGTTTAGTTAATAACAGTAATAAATGAATCTAAATTTAAATATAATTTATACTTTTCTTGATTATTTCAATAACTTTCTTATTTCATTATTTTGAGTCTCTAATTTATATTTATTATTTGACCAAGGATTAGCATTATAATATAATAATATCTAAACTATTGATTTATTTTCATATTAAACAGCATAATAAAGTGGAGAATATCCTTATACATCTTATGAATCAGGATAAGCACCATTTTATAATAATTTTTCAGTTATTGTATAATGTCCTTATATAGAACTTACATGTAAAGGAGTTTATCCTAATTCATTTATATCAAAGGCATAATATCTGCATTTTTTGAGGATAAAATTAATTAGATCATAATTATTATTCTCAACAGCTTCAAAAAATTAAAAAGATCCTTCTCTTTCATATGGTTTCTTTTAAATAACACCATGTTAAAACACTTCTTTTATTGTAAGTTTCATTGATTTCATTTTCTTAACACAATCAACAATTAGATGAAACATTTTTTTGAATAAAAATTTTACCTATTCACTATATATTGCATTTGATCTTCTTTTATTTTTTTAAGATGATTTTATTGATTAAATAACACTCTTTTAAGTTTCTATTTCTTATGTATTCTTTTATTATTATTATTATTTATCTTTCTCAACTTAATGAATGAATCTTTTTAAAAAAGTTGTTGATATTCTCATTCTACTTTAATTTTAACGAATTCTAGATGTTTCTTCTGACAATTATCTTAATTAAATTTCATCTTATTTTGCTTTTTCCTCTAAAAATGATTTCTTTTTATCAAAATATTATTAAATAACTGTTTAAAGCTTTTTATCAGGAGCTGTTGATTATTAAAGTGATTCTTCAAGAAATTACAAATTTCTTGTAAATGCCTCTCTCTCCTTATCTCTCTTTCTCATTTAAATATATGGAGTATATCTTTCACTAATAGCAAGCATCTTTCCAATTTATTCTTTGATATCTGAAGGATATTAATTTTCTAAACGTTCATATAATTAAATATCATTTTCTATAATAATAGGAACTTTAGAAGTCTCAATAGTTTTTCTTCTCATAAGTTTATTGTCTGTATTTATCAATTTTAATGCTTTTTAAAATGAATTGCTAGTTTATCCATTCATAATTGCTATCTATTTAACTACTATGTTTAGTTATGAATACATTAAAATTTAAGTAATTTATTTTAGGTATGTTATTTTATCTCTAATCAGTAGAGTTTCTCCTATCTGAAATTTCAAATTCATCTTCTAATTGGCTTTCTATTTACCTAATTCCATTTTTAGGAGTATTAGAATTATTTGATAAGTTTCTATGTTATGAAGATTATTTCAATTATCTACTTGTTTAAGCTCTCTTTTAACTTTTTTTAATGGATTCATTCTAAAATTATAAAACAATCAAATACGTTAAATTAGGTAATAGGTTCACTCTTTTATATAAAACTCCTCCCTTCTTTAATTGAAGACTTTCTTTTTACTGTAAATGACTTTTCAGTCTTCCCATCCATATAGCTATATTCAAAAGTATCAATAAACAAAGGTTTGAAAACATAGTTGAATTTACTCATTTATATATATATATATATATATAATCAAAACTCATAGAAAACTCTGCAATAATTAATCCAAATTTATTATCTTGTATTATAAGGTGTCATCATTAATAACATATCTAACTATTCTTATATAATTTAATATTTACTCTTCTAGCTATTTTTAACATTTTTGTTAATGTAGGATCATCAGTATCATAGATACAACCAGGAAATGACCATGGATTACATTTATGTGATAATAATAATTATACTAATTCTTTTTAATTATTAATAAGTGCATAATAAAGTGGAGTTCTATTACTTACATCCCTTGCATCAGGATAAGTTCCATATTGAAATAATATCTTTGCTATTTATAAATGTCCTTTTCTAGAACAAATATGTAAAGCTGTTTGTAAATTCTCATTTAAATCAAAAGCATAAAATCTGCATTTATCAAGCATTAATTTTACTAAATCAATATCATTTTTAGTTACTCCTTTAAAAAATACATAAGAACCTTCTCTTTAATAAGGTTTTTTTAATATTGTTCTACTTTACATTAATAATTCAGGATCTAATTTCATAAATCTCAATTTTTTAACACAATCTAAAATTAAGCTTCTCATTTTTTCAAGTTTCATTCTTACTGATGTACTAAATACTGCTCCAACCTTTCTTTTCTTTTATGGATCCTTTTTTGTTCTTATACTTTATGCCCAATATTTATAAGATTCTTTTAATAATTCTGGATCTTATTTCTCTTTATATTTAAATTATTAAGAAACACCAATAAAGTCCTTAAAAAAAGTCGAAGAAATTTTTAAATCTCTTTCAGCTGAACTTGTATTTATAATTGATCTTTTTGATATATTAATATCATCCATTCTTTAAGAAAGTCTTTAAAGGTGAATACTCTTTCTTGATAAATAATTTTAAACTTTATCTTATATTTATTGTTCTGCACAATTTTATTATGTTTTTGATTATAATTCTAATTATTATTTTGGACTCATTTAAGGACTTTCAACCTTTCTAAAAAGTTATCCTTAATCTAACATGGATAACACTTATTATTTCATCTATTTTTAATGATATGATTTGTGTTATTAAGTAAGTATTTCAGCAAAACTATTAAGTTTATTTTATTTTCTCATTAATTTGTTATCCTATATTATTAATTATCTAACTCTTTTATTAGTATTACTATTCATAGGCTTTTCTTTAATCTAATTTCTTCAAATTTATACATTAAACTCAATATATTATTGTATATTAATATCTGAATTTCCTAATTTTTGATTCAATGTCAGTTATTTTTTTGACTTTTTTTTATCTGTAGTAAGAGGTTCAATGTGAAATGATTGACTAGTAACCTTTTATCTAAAGTAAGGATAGTAATCAACTTTTTTTTTAATAGAGAATGATTTCTCCTCACTTCCCATACGGTATTTATATTAACAAGTTTCAATGAGTAATGGTCTATAAATCATATTATAATTAATTTTATATATTTTAAATTATAATTAAATAAACTTGATTATGATGCAATCTATTTAAATATTTTGAATTACTATTGATAAGCTTTATTAATATATATAAAGTATTAGAACTTCATAAATAATTATTAAATTTTGATTGATTTATACAATTAATTGTTCTTTATATTTAAATCATTAAAAAATATAGAAAATAACAAATAAAACAATTATTCAAAACAAAATATTTTTTATTTGAATCTCATTTCTTATAGACTTGGAGTATATTGATAATTTATTTAATAGAATTTTTCTTACATCTTTATAATTCCATTAAAATTAAATCTATTATTAAGTTACTATATATATATATATAATAATATAATTCATATCCATTTAAAATTAAATAGAAAGCTTTTTTTATATAATTTAAATTAACTAATGAATATTAATAACGTAAATGATATTTGCAACAACACAATATTTTGTTTAGATGATGATTGTTAATCAACTCACGAAAGAAAATATGTAGGAATATGTTTAGAATATTTAAAATATAATGTTTAGGATGAAGAATATATCTATAAAAACAAAAAATGTTTTAATGATAATTGTCCTTTTTATCATTTTAATCTTGAAAAAGTTCATTTATTATTATAAATATCTCCAATCAATGGTATTTGGTGTTTTAATTTATGTCCTCAACAAATTTGTTAATAGAGTTAATGTCAATTTATTCATAGAAAATGGGCTAAAGGAATATGTTTGAATAATTTTACAAATATATGCAAAAATAAAAATTGTTAAAATAGGCATCTCTCTTGGGATAAACTTAGAAAAGAAGTTTATATCTAATATAATGTAACCTAAATTAATCCAGAAAACATTTGTGAAAATGATAAATGTAATTGCATTTATCATTTAGATACATTTCAAAATATGTGTCTAAACTATTTTAAAGGTGAATGTCCAAATAAAAAATGTCTAAAAATACATTGTGATTGGGAATACTTAAATTAAATTTCTTTTTAAAAATAACAATTATTACCTTGTACAACTTTAATAGCTTAACATAGTTTTATTAATTTTCTTTAGATTTCAAAGCAAACTGAAATTCAATAAGTGTGTGATAAACAAAAACTCATAAAATTTTAAAGGGAAATTCATTAATCAAATATCATAGATGTAATATTTATATTAGATTTAACATTATCAATGAAACGTTGGTTATAAGCTATAAAAATGTAAATTGCAAATATAATATATCAATTTAAAGAAAAGATAAATGGATATGGAGTAAGAATTGGATTTGTAGGATATAGAGATAAATGTGATGAATAAGAATAATTAGTATATAGATGTTTAACAGAAAACTTTGATGAAATAATTAAAGTAATTTCAAAATAGGTAGCTTAAGGTGGTGGTGATTAGGCAGAAGATATTGTTACTGCATTAGAATAAGGATTAAATTTAAATATTTCTAGACATCAAGATAGTATTTTATGTACTTTTTTAATTACTGATGCACCTTGTCATGGAATTCAATATCACTCTGACAATATTTCTGATGATTATAATTATACAGTTGAACCTGGATATTTAGAAAATGTAATATTAAAATATAAGGAAGCAAAGAGACTTAGTTTTTTCACATGTTTTAAAATTAGAGATTCAACTGATATTATGTTTCAGAAAATGTAGGATGTATTCCCTGATATTCTGATAACTAGAAAAAGCTAACCTAATGATTTTCCTGAGCTTGTTAAATTTGCTATTGAATCATCAATTACATAAAGTTTCAATAGATCAATATATCAAAAAAAACCTAAAAGTCTTTATACAGGAGCTAAATTTACTAAACCAAAAATAATTAATTATCAATATAATTAAACTTAAATAAAAAAATCAAACTTTTGGAAATAATTTAATGAAATTGTTGATTAATTTCAAAGATAAGGAGTTACTGCTTTAGAAATCAATTAAGAACCAGAAATCACTTAAATAAATATAAAAAATTATTAAAATTAAAGAAATAATGTATTAGATCTAAACAATACTTGTGTCTTTAAAATTTTTGATGCTTTAAATAATAGATATATGGTTGCAAAATTATCAAAAGAACATGTTAAAAAATATTAAGAAAATCAATTAAATGAAAATGATATTAAACTTGCTGAAGAAGAAGCAAAAACTAAATATTATGTTGCTGCTTATGCAAATTAATTAGCATATTTATTTAGATAAAAAACTAAAAATTTTGATGAAATACCTCCAATCTTTTATGTTTCACCTATACTTTACACTTTAGAAGTTCCATTTTATGGAGTACATTAATTATATGCAGAGACTTGGATAGATTCAGCCAAGTTTTAATGGAAAAAATATTCAATAAATGGTGTTTTTACTTCTCCATAATTTTATTATTATTCTGCTTTTAGTCATTTTACTTATATTGAAACAGAAGGAATTCTTGTTATTTTAGATTTTTAAGGATCTGATAATATTTTCACTGATGCTTCCATTTAAACTTAAGACAATTAAATACCTATTTTAGAAAAAGATCAAAAAAATAATAAATAAATTGGAATAACAACCTTCTTATAAAAATAACATGAAAAATGCAGTATTTTATGTTAAAAGCTTAATTTAAATAGGATTAATTTTTCAATAGCAAATCCTTAAATTGATTATCATGTATGGAATTTATAAGATCATTAAATGATATCAATAACATGTGAAACTTGTTCATAATTAAGATTATATTCATTAGATTAATATTAACAAATGAAAGAAATTAAATGTGATATTTGTAGAGATTTAGAAAAATAACCAATTGAAGCAATATGTAGATGCTGTTCATAAATGTATCATCATGATCCAAATGAAGATCTATTATCTTTAACTGTCTATGGTTATTGTAAATTTTGTAAATCAAATTGTATTCTCAAACAAAAACGATGTTTATACTGCTTGAAACATTGTTAATTAAATTTAAAATAAATTGGAAATCTCAATTAATATATCTGTAAAAATGGGTATTAATACTTACAAGGTTTGCAATGTTAACTTTGTAAAGCTTAATATAATTTCAATTAAATTCTATCAGAAAAAGATTATAATGATGGAAATTATATTTGTTGTCAAAATTTATGATATATTATATGTATATAAACATAAACTAATACCAAATATTGTTTATCTCTCTCTTATTAATTCTATTTTTTTGACATCTCTTAGTTTATTTAATTTCTAACTCCTTTATTTGGTGTTTTACAATAAAAAACATTTATTTATGGAAATGTGAATTAATATTATAATTAACCAGATGAATATTTAGTATATGCATCATAAATTTTTAAAGAGGTTATATATTAAATATAAAAATTAAGATGACAAAGATGTTTTAATATAATTTATAAAAATATTATTGTTTTATTGCCTATTAATAATTTACTGAAATTACATGGACGATATCTATATTAAATATATTGAATTGAGCATAAAATAACTCATATAAATTATATTCTAAAATAAATTGTTAATAAAACCAAATTATGTTTATAATCAATCCTTAGCACATTTAATACACTTATATATACCCTTATTGTATTAATCCTTTGATAAAATGACATCGTTATTGTAAAGCTTTTAACATTTTGNTTATAAAAATAACATGAAAAATGCAGTATTTTATGTTAAAAGCTTAATTTAAATAGGATTAATTTTTCAATAGCAAATCCTTAAATTGATTATCATGTATGGAATTTATAAGATCATTAAATGATATCAATAACATGTGAAACTTGTTCATAATTAAGATTATATTCATTAGATTAATATTAACAAATGAAAGAAATTAAATGTGATATTTGTAGAGATTTAGAAAAATAACCAATTGAAGCAATATGTAGATGCTGTTCATAAATGTATCATCATGATCCAAATGAAGATCTATTATCTTTAACTGTCTATGGTTATTGTAAATTTTGTAAATCAAATTGTATTCTCAAACAAAAACGATGTTTATACTGCTTGAAACATTGTTAATTAAATTTAAAATAAATTGGAAATCTCAATTAATATATCTGTAAAAATGGGTATTAATACTTACAAGGTTTGCAATGTTAACTTTGTAAAGCTTAATATAATTTCAATTAAATTCTATCAGAAAAAGATTATAATGATGGAAATTATATTTGTTGTCAAAATTTATGATATATTATATGTATATAAACATAAACTAATACCAAATATTGTTTATCTCTCTCTTATTAATTCTATTTTTTTGACATCTCTTAGTTTATTTAATTTCTAACTCCTTTATTTGGTGTTTTACAATAAAAAACATTTATTTATGGAAATGTGAATTAATATTATAATTAACCAGATGAATATTTAGTATATGCATCATAAATTTTTAAAGAGGTTATATATTAAATATAAAAATTAAGATGACAAAGATGTTTTAATATAATTTATAAAAATATTATTGTTTTATTGCCTATTAATAATTTACTGAAATTACATGGACGATATCTATATTAAATATATTGAATTGAGCATAAAATAACTCATATAAATTATATTCTAAAATAAATTGTTAATAAAACCAAATTATGTTTATAATCAATCCTTAGCACATTTAATACACTTATATATACCCTTATTGTATTAATCCTTTGATAAAATGACATCGTTATTGTAAAGCTTTTAACATTTTGCACATTTTTATAAACTTAAATATGCTTAACCCTTTGAACAAATTCTAATTAATTAATCATTAATTTTCATCTCTTTTTAATTTTTTAAACAATAACTTTCACAATAATAACAACACTATTTATTGAGGTCAAAACAGGATTACTTACAAAAATCACAACTTCCTAATACTGTCTAAATTCTTAGTTATAAATTCTGAACTGCTTAATAATCTTCCAAACAACATTCGCACTATATTATTGAAGTCATTTATTAATCACTCTCAGTTTTACAAATCTCACAATTCATAAAATTAAACTTTTCCTATGACTACTTTTAAGCATCTAAATCATTTTATGTGAATTAACTGCATGTAATACAAATTCCATATATTTTAGTTTTTTGGGCAATTTACCATTTGGTTTAATCTAATTTTTAAGAATTTTTATTCTTAAATTATTCTCTTGATAATTATAATAATGAGCAGTAGTAACTACATTCCTGATGTTGTGTTGTTAAAAATATTTCAATTCCTATTTCATTATGATTAGTTTCATCAAAATCTAAAATAGGAATTTATCCTTTTTTAGTTTATATTGATGGATCTGAAAGAATATTATCACATCCTTATAAATCTGTAATAACTAAGGTATGACCACTTTCTATAAATGAGAAATGACTGAATACAGAATAATAATAATATTTTGGTTCACTATGATGACTATTAGTAGTGTACTTTTTAAATTAATATTAAATATTCATAAATGTTTCTCCATAAACTAAATTCATACCAAAAAAAGGTTCTGTTAGTGTATAAATAATGGGTAATACATAAAATAATGAAGGAATTTCTTAAATTTTTGATATTTTCTAATTAAAATAATGAGCCATTTAACAAGCATAACTGGATGAATAAAATCTGGTTTTTGCTAACTATTCAGCCTTATCAATTGATATTTTATCTAATTTACCTTCTCTATGCATATCAATTATGAATTTAGGAATTTTTATAGCGATGTACATATTATTAATAGTATCAAATGCTTTAAAAATATAAGTTGTGCAATTTTAATCATCAGATTACTAAGATTCATTAATATTTTATTCAATATCTAAGGCTGTAACTCCTCTCCTTAAAGATTAATCCACATCAATGTAAAAATTTTTCCAATACTTTGCACGATTATTATCTTAATAGTTTGGGGGCGAAATACTTAATTTATATTTATTAAATTCTGCTTATATTTGAATAGTATTTTTAATTTTTGATTGAATTAATTTGGATTATATCAAAGATTATTTTAGGGTAAAAAGAACTTAATCGCTAATTTCTTTTGGTTACTTTTAAGATGTTATGGTTAATAGAGGAAATACTTATTACATTTTTTAAAACATTTTATCTGTTGTTTCATTAATTTTAATGCAACATAAAAAATTACATTCTTTGATTTTTTTATATTTTTTTAATACATTTTCTAAATAATTCTTTTCAACTGAATCAATTTAATTATCAGATGAAATATCATGATATTCTCTACCATGACAAGGAGCATCAGCAATCAAAAATGTACAGAGTAAACTTTCTTCATGAAGAGAGAAATTTAATTCCAATGCTTTTTCAAATCCTGCCACAACATCCTCAGCATCATCACCTCCACCTTTTGCTTCTAATTATGATATTTATTTTGTAAATTCATCTACTTTTTATGTAAGATTAATATAGGTGATTTTTTCTTTTTTATCACATTCATCTCTATAACCAACAAATCCAAACCTTATTTAATGTCCTTTATTTGTTTGTTAAAATTATTAAATTATTTCATAAATGGCATTTTCCATTTCTATTTTCCATGTTTACATAGATCCAGTTAGATCCATTATAAAAACAACATCAATAATATTAGATTGAAATATTGATTCTTTGAATTTAAGAAATTTAGCCTTTTCACATAATAATTAAATAAATTGCTTTTAACTAAAAGAATTTGCTCTCTCTTTCGACTCTTAATAAATTACACTACAAGGTTATAATGAGTTTTATTCTATCTTTTGTTTTAAAGATAAACCTTCCCATTCAACGTGATTTTTTAGACATTTTATAAATGGACAAATTCCTTTAAGAAATGGTATACAAATTTTTTAATCTGTCATCCATGAAAAATGTTATTAACAGTTACAATTTTGTGATTCACATAATTGTTCAGGTGTTGTGAAATTAATCTTTGATGATTCCTTTGCCTATTATTTTAGTTAATTCCATGGTAAATGATTAAATGGACAATTATTCTTTTTTTTTTTTTGACAGACATTCATAATATCATTTATGCAAATATTATGAGCCCAAGGTTTATGAATTAATTTACAATCACATCCATTCATGCAACATAAATTATGAGGAAATATACCATTTATAGATTATTATAACGAACTCTTTAATTTAGATTAGTCTAAATGTTATAATTTGCATCCCTATATATCACATTTCTTTTTTTCAAAATCTTCCTCTGAGTTTTTATACTATTCTTCTTCCATTCTTAAATATTCAAGACAAATTCCTAAATAGAATCTCGAATGATTATTTTAACAATTTTCTTTTACGCAGAAAATTGAATCAATACAAATTTTAGAAGTGTCTGGCTCAATTTAAAACATTAAAATTGTAATAGAATATGAAATTTAATATATAAATTTACAAAAAATATGAGGCACATTTAATTAATTATTTTAATATTATTGTAGAATCTAATTAATATATCTTCGAAAATGAAATAAAGTGAATAATTAATAATCTAATTGATTATGTATATAATCTTATCATTCTTTTTTTATTTTCTTTTGTATTTCATCTTCACCAGATGTATAAGCAGATGAATATAATTTTACCATTTCATATGTTACTTCATTTTCAATTTTAATAACTTTTATCACAAAATCCTAAAATAAAGGTTCATCTATTTCAAATTTTTATCCAATTTCTTTCTTTTAAAGAATTCTTGATCTTTCATTTAGTTATTACTCAATGCTATCTAATAAATAATTATGAATTTAATTATACCTATAAGACGATTTATATATTTCTTTTTTTTAACAATTACAATTAAGTTATTATCAAATGTAATTTTACAAGTTTCTTCTTCATTCTAATTTAAAATTACATAAGATTTAAATTTCCCAATAGTTCTATAATATTAGCCATTTTAGTTATTTTATTAAATTTCTTAATAGCTCTTATGTTTTAATTTATATATTTCAAAATGAGGAGGTTAAAAATCATTTTGATTATCTATATGGTATTCAACTTAAATTTGAGTACATATTTTTGATTCATCATTGAATAAAAGAGCCAAATGAGAATTTGATTTCTAAATAACTTTAATCTATTTAAAACCTACTATTGTATTCTCTTTAAGTTTAAAATCTTTAGCAAAAGGTAATTTAATAATCACGTTTACCTTTTATTTTTAGAAATTAACTATAGTAATAACTTAATAACCAGTTTCTTAAATATTTTTAATTTTGTAAATGCAACCATAGATATTGAATATTTTACCTAAATTTTAATAATTGATTTAATCATAGTCAGTCCAAATAGGATTTAAAGGGAAAAAGATCGTATCCTTATCAATTCTATATCTAATTTCATTTATGCCACGATCATTATCACAATATTCATAACTAATAATATTGAGAAATATAAATTCCTAGTTTATCTCTATTTAATCAAGCCTATTTTCAAATACTCCATTCCAATCATTTTGGAATGAAATAATTGTAACACAAGATTCACTTAAGCAATCTGCTAATGTTGATATTTTATAAGGATTTCCAATATTACTTTTTTTTTATTTAAATTTATCAATTAATCTTCCTTTTATATTAATTCTTTGATTAGGTTATTTGATAAATTATGTTAATTTAGTTTAATCGAATAAAATGACTTAATTCAATTCAAAATACTAATTTATATTGTATGGAATCAATTACTATAAAAATAATTAATTAATAAAATAATACTTATTATTATGTGCGATATTCTAATATGCACTTATCTCCATCATGATTTCCTAATTTAATTATTTAAATGGTTGGTTATAATTATGATAATTGAAAAGTATATTAACTTTTAATTTTGATCTATCTTCTATTTATTCCATCATAAATTTAACAAATGTGAAGTACACAGTCTTCATCATTTAAAAAGAATAATTTTTCTGATTTTTCTATTCGCACATACAAAGGAATTGCAATTTCTTGAAAAATAAATTCAATAGCTCCTTGAGTTAACATCTGTACTTTATTTAATACTTTAATAGAAATATATTAAATTAATTATATATTAATATATTAATAATATCATATTTTTAGAATCAAAATACTTAATAGAATTAATTATATTAATTCTCCATATGATCCTTCCTCATTATTAGCACGAACATATGAGTCCTTTTTTTTACATTGTTAATCTTTCCAAATACAATATTATTTATTATCACATAATTATTAATATTAAAGAGAATTACATTATGGTAAGCACTATTTAAATAAATATAATTACAGTCTCTTTAAATTCACAATATTATTCTGGACAGTCTTCTTTGGTTAAATAATTTTCACAAATCTTTGAATAACATTTCATTTCTTTAAAATTATAATCACAATAATCATTATTTTAAAGACAAATACAAGAACTTTAAATTTCTTCACATGATACACAAGTTTAATCAGTTAATAAGACACAAATTCCTTTTTCCATATAAACACCAGTACATTAAATAATATTTGGCAAATATCTACAAGGAGTAATAGTACAAAAAGATTATTATTCATAATTAACCCATTAACAATTATTATTATTATATTTTTATTATTTACATTTATTTTATTAAAGTATTTAAGAGCATTCAATCTACTCTTAACAGCTATTCATATCTGAATTCCAATAACAAATATTTGAATCACAATTGTTTTTTTATATACTATTACAACCTATAAATGTACAAGACTATTCATATTTACAATAATATGGATAATTTAAACATTCTTATTAATTGAGTATTTCACAAATGAGTTATTAACATTAATTTAATTTTGATTAAAAATACATGGTTCATTATTGATTGATGGACATTTTTAATTAAATGGATTATGAATATCATCACATTATTTAGCAGATTTACATTATTATAAATTATTTGAATAACAATATTATGAATTAATATAAAGACCATCACAATTATTATATGATTGATCTTCACATTATTTCCATTTACATTAATTTAATTATTTAAGATATATACAATGAGTTAGAGAATTGCATTATTCAATTTTTGTAATATAATTGCAATCTTTATCTTTAATACTATTGCATAAACATTAATTATTAAATAATGTACATTTACTTGAATTACAACCTTATTAACTTAATCCTTTAGTATCACATAATTCTTCATTAGCTTGAATACAACCATATGTTAATTCATTGAATTTACAACTATCTATTGCATTCAAACAAACTTTATAATTAGCAATTGAATATTCATTACAAGTATAAATTTATTTATTAACATTTTGACAATATTCTTAGAATACACATCCATCAATTTCTATACAAGCAATTATATTTAAACCTAATGTATCACAATTCATTTTAGATAAATTATTATTTTCACATTTATTATTATTAATATCATAATAACAAGCATCTAAATTAACTAATTAACAAACCTTTAAATTCACATTAATAGGTACTAATGCACATGAAGTATAAGGAATATAATCATCACAATAATAATAATTATTATTATCTTATTTCCAAATACAAGGATATTATTTAATATTTAAACATGCAAATTTATTTAATCCAGCATGTGTACATTTAATTGTATTTATATCAACAAATTAACAACCATTTATATAATATCCACATGGTTAATTAATATTAAGTTATGAACAAGATTTAGCATTCCAATGAGGTTTATCACATTATTAAGATTCAATTAAAATATCTTAATATTAGCATGTCTTTTCAATAATATTCCAAATACAAGGTTAAGTAGTTATACTTAAACAAGCAGCTTCATTTATTCCAAATATTACAGGATTACAAGTTAATTCTTAAACATTTTCAATAATTACACATTTTTTTAATTTTTAATCATACTTTACTATATCTCCATTATTTACTAAACCACATGCATTTAAATTAACATAAATAAGTTAATTAGGAGTATATTATTATTAATAATCTATTGTTTAACATTTTAAATCTTTCCATATACAATATTAATCCATTTTAGTTATTTTTAAACAAGCTGTATAACTTAAATTTGATGAACAAGACATTTTATTTATATTAGTAATTGTCATACATTCACCTTATACTATCTCTTCTTCATCTGAATTTTAGTATTTATTAACTTTATATACTTAATTAATCCATTAACAATCACTTATTGTTTAATAAATACATGCATTTCTATTAATATTATCTAAACAATTATTTGTATCTTCTTATTATATAAATAAAAGACATTATTCATCCTTAAATATACACATTTAACCTGGTACTTCAACACTCATACAAGATCTTTAATTTCCAGATCTTTCATTTATTTATTAACAACTTAAATAAGCTGATTATTCTGAATAATTACAAATTTCTTCTTATAAATTCCAAATACATGATATAGATTTCATTCTTTTACATTATTAACTTGTTTATGATAAACCACATGTACTAGGTTTTTAACTTTCACATTTGTATAGAGTAGGAATAAATACACAAAGAGTATTTTTTATTGAAGCACAAACTAAAAAACTACCATTTGTTATTTAATCACATTCATTTACTGTATTTTTTGATGCTTGACATACATTATTTGTCCATTCACATTCATAAATCTTTTAATTTAAACATGTATCAATTGAATCAGCTTCTCTACAACATTATTCTTTATCATTATAACTACAATTCATAATTCCATTATTAGGACCATAACAATATTCTAGAAATTTACATTTTAATCCTTTAATTGTTTAATTTAAACAAGCAATTTTATTCAATCCTCTTTCACATGAGAATTCTTCTTATTGATATACATTTCTACATTCTTTTTTTTTTAAATCAAATGTACAAGCAATGTCTGTTACTTATTCACAGAATTTATAATTATTAATATTCACTATACTTAAACAACTAATAACTTTATATTAAACTAAATCTTATTATTTACATTATTCACCATCAAATTAGCAATATTAATCTTATGTTTAAATATTAACACATCCAAATCTATTACTAGCTTATTCACAAGTAATATTACTGTAATCTTAATAATAAATTTTCTTACAAATATTTTATTAAATCATACATCCTTCACCTGTAACTTAATTACATTAATATTAACCATCAACTTTAATATCTTTACAAAATTAAAATCCACTATAATTCAATCTATAACAATTTTCATCAAAAGTACAATTATTTTTATCTTTCTCACAACATGTTTAATTGTATCCTTTCTCTTCTGGATCTTTTTCAACACAACTTATAGATTCACTTACAACTATTTAACATCTAAATAATGATTTATTGAATTCACATGAAATTTTATTTTGATTAAGTGCACAAAATACACCAGAATTTATATCTATTATTTAATCACAACTCATATGTTTAAAATCATCCAAATTTGCATTTTAACATTTATTATTTTTATATTGACAAAATTAATAAGGTGTTTAAATATTAAAAATATAATATTTATTATTATTATATAATATTATTTATCTATTTTCTTAAAAATAATTATTATAATAAGAATACTTAAACATGCTATTTTATTTACTAAATCAGTACATTTTAAATATACCAATTCAGAACTTTTAACTACTAAACATGATTCTTTCCATATAAGAGCTTTTTATATATTGTACATTTAACATGTCCATTTATTAAATGAAGAAATATTGGAAATACTATAATTTTATTAATAACTATATGCAGTTTATTCAGTATAACGAGTACATTATTTATTTTACTTATCATAAAAGCATGGAATATCAATGCTTCTAGAACAAGTATAAGGATTTGTTTATAATCCAAATTTATAACATTTATTTATATCAATTTTAGTAGTATCAATATTTTGGCATCCAAGTTTGTTATCAAAATAACATAATTATCCTCTAGTTATTATAGATAAACATTTATCTTAATTAATATCAGCTTTACAATTGGGATTTCCAAAAGATGTAATACATTTCGAATTCTTGAATTCACAATAAGATCCTTATGTAAAGAATATACATCCCTTATAATTTAGACCTATACATTTTTAAGGTGTTGTTATTTTTTAACAATTCTAAGTTTTATCATTAAACATGCAAGGAGTTTCATGATCATTTAAACATATTCTAAGATTTACAATTGATTATTCATATTATAAGGTATGGCAATTATCTTTATCAGTAATTGGAACACATTAATTATTATAAAATTTGCATTATACATTTAATTTTGTGCATGTAAATTAATTTAAAGTAGATTTACAAGTCTTTAATTATGAAATTACTTTCATCTGAATATTTCTGCATTAATTGTCATAAAATTCACAATATGTATTTGTCTTTAATAAACATGTGTACTTATTCATTCCAACATAATAACAATCATTAATCATCATATTTTTATTAGTAATATCTATACATTTTTATTATGCCACACTATATATTAAACCTATACCAACTTAGCCATAGATATAGAAATCAGCAGATTAACAAACTTTTTCAGTGTAAGGAAAATATACTCTTATACCATTAGTATTATATATAACATATGATTAACAATAATTATCGAATTTACAAGCAAAATCTTATAATAGACAAGCTTATTAGTTCAAATAAGATTAACAACCTAAATTAGATTCTTATGTTTTTTAACATTTATTATCAACAAATTTACAATATCCTTTAGTTAATCTTATACATGCATATTCATTGATATTAGAAATTATTGATTCTTCACAAGAGAGAATATCAGTAGGTATAACTTCTCTACATTTATAATATTAATCATGAATACAACCCCCCTTATATTTAATTTAAGTACATGTGAAGTAATTATTACGATTAATATACTAATATTAATCATTAATCAAAAATTCCTTACATGAATAAGGCTAAAATCTAAATTATAATTGATAGCAATTTTCATATAAATCTGACCATCCACATGCTATATCTATTGCATTAAGACATTAATATTGATTTAAATTATTACATGTATTAATAGTTATTTCATCATTCTGAATACATTTATTTAAAGTCCATTTACAATTTTCATATAAAGATCTTACACAAAGAGATTAAGTTTTTAATAAATCACATTTACCCTAATAAGGATCATAATTGACACATTAAAAAGTTGTTTAATCAACCCAACAAATATTAATTTGTTTAATATAACAAGCAGTTTAATTTAAAATAGAACATTCAATTTTATCACTTTAGAATATAGATATTGTATTACATTTGAAATTTTCCCATTTACATTGGACTCCTTCAGTTTTTCTAAGACAAGCTAATTAATTAAGATTACTACAAGTATTTTAATTAGGAATATTATCAATGTTTAAACATTTCTATTAAATATCATCATATTTAGTAGCATGTTCTTAACATTTCATACATGCTTTTAAAGAAACAGGTAATTCAAATAATTAATTACATGAATAATGAGTAGCATCTAAACAATTATTATCTAGAAATGCACATGCTTAATCAACTTTTGTGCATACTTCTTATTTATAAATTGTATCTAATAGATTTACTTAATAACATAGAAAGTCTTTATTAGATTTATCTTAATTTAATTAAGGTTCTTATCTATAATATTAACAGTATCCTAAATAAATATAATTGCATCCACATTTTTCGCATATTGATTTACTAAAACTCTTATCACAAGGATATGATCCACTTCCTTTAAGTTTTGGCATTGAATTTATACATGCTTTCCCATCATATCTACAATCATCATCAGCTCTAGCACATAAAATAGGTTAAGCATCTGTCTCTAAAATATCTGAACAAAAATATGGTGATTAATATGTTGTAAGAGGTACACAATACTTATATTCTTTTTATACTGTTTTGCATTTATCACCTGGTTGAATAGTTGATTCTCCATTTTAACAAATTGCATTATGACTTTAACTAACATAACAATCATTTGCGATTTAATTACAATCTCCAATGTTATGTTCATTTCCCTCTAATTACATACAACCTCCTTAGTTAGCATCATAAAAACATTTTGGACTCAATTCTAAGCATTATGCTTTTGAAAAATGGCTGATACAATTTATGATATAATTTTCTTCTAATAAGCACCAATGATTAGTAATATATTTATTTTCTATTGTACAATCATTATTTATGTATTAATCATGGGGATATGTTATATCCTTTTTACAAGTTTTTTTTCTTTAACATTTAGCTTTCTCAATATTACAATCATATTCAGTTAATTAACCGCAATAAAAATACTAGCATTCATCATAATCATCAGTAATAACTTTTATCTCATGAATTGAAGCATCATAATTATCAGGTGTAATTTCATTTATTGGAATAATAGTCTCAATAATAGTATTTACATAACAATATATTCTTTCTATTATTGAGCATTCCTATATTTTACATACATTAATATTATCAGATAGCTAATAATATGTATGATTTCTAGTATATTTGATAATTTGCATATTGCAAGTCTCATTAATAAATACCCAATTATTTTCAATTAATTATTATATATTTTTACCATATGATTCATTCTTTGTAATTTCTTCAAAACAAGTATCAACTTTTTAGAATTCAGGACATTCCTTTTAAGACTGTTCTTGTCCACTTTTTGAATCTAAATGATTATATACTATTTGATAAATTTCACATGAATAATTGGACCAAAAACAATATTTTTAGAATTTGCATTCCTATGTATTTACTTTATCTTCAACACATAATAATTCTCCTAAAGTTTCTTCTAAAGATTAAACAACAGATGAACAAACTCTTTTATTAGGGTGTTATAAATTAATGGAATAATTTGATAAATCAGTACAAGTCATAGTATCTAAGAATTCAAATGATTAACATTATAATGTAGCCACATCAAAAATACAAGGATGATATATATTCATACATACCTCTATATTTATCTGCCATTAAGTCTAACATATTGATTAATCTTAAATAAATGGTTTACATTTATTATTAGGTAATATCTCTTATTCATCATAATAACAATTATGGGTTTGTGTATGATATAAACAAGCATATTTATTCATTTGATAAGTATTACAATCTATTGTTTTAGATGTTAGTTTAAGACATTTCTATTAATTTTTATCATAATAATATGCATCTCCTGTTATTAATAGACATGCTATTTCATTAAATTTATGATTTCCTGTATTGTTAAAAGTCTCAAAATCTATTGAATTAATAGTATTAAAAATTTCACATTATTTTAATAGATCATTCCAAACACAAGCTTCTTTTGTTATCTTTTTACATAATTCAATATTTATATTATCTAAACATGATAATTCTTCTATTTTTGTATAATTTTCATAACATTATAATGAATTAGGATCCCATCTACACAACAATTTAGTATTTGTATAACAAGATCTATTATTGGCTGATGAACCATTACAGCGATAGTTACTATTGGTTGAATCAACACATTAATAATTTAGAAATTGACACTATTATCCAGGTTTGTTAATTTATACACATACTTACTCACTAACTTTACCAATAGTTTAAAAATGATTACAATCCACATTAACATCATTAAATTTAATACATTTATCTAAATGATAAGAAAATAAACAACTAATTTTCTTAAGATCAGTACATGCTCTAACATTTAATTCTGAATCACATGATTAAATTTCATCATATTCATCATAAGGTATTGTAATACATTTTATTTATTTTTCATCCCATTTACAATAGTTATTACCAGTATATCTTTGACAAATATTTCTATTACCTTTTACTTATTCACAATATTAATATGAATATTCAGGATCTAATAAAAGTTCTACACATCTATTATTAATATCATCATATCCTATATATTTTAATGTATTAAATTCAGTTATTTAACCATCTATAGCAAAACAAGCATACTCATTTAAGATAGAAGGTTCTTCAGTGAAAATACGATAATTATTATGATATTTTTATTTAAATTGATTACAGATAATTCCATTATAATAACATTATTATTCTGGTGACCAATTAATCATATGACAAGAATTCTTATTCATAGAAGAACATGGTAATTTTATTTCATTATAATATTATTTAACTTCATTTGGATTTGTTATATCTACAGTTTCAAAAGTTAATTCCTAACATCTTAAATTCATAAAATAACAATAAACTCCTATTTCAGTACTTGAAAATTTACTACATGAATGAGCATTTATTCCAATATTTTCATTTTCTGTACAACAATTAGTGTTACATAATTCTTTTTTAATTTAACAAATAGATGTTTATTTATTATAATAACAATAACCTCTATTTTTATCAACTTAATTTCCTTTTTGATAATCATAATCAGGAAAATCAGATAAAATAGATGCACATACATTAGAATTAACCTATATATCAGGTTTTGCAAAATCAAGACAATATTAATTTTCTTTAATTTCAACAGCTTCACAAAAACCTTTTGATTTGCTCCATTAACATATTAATTAAGTAGCTGTAAAAGAAACACAAACTGCTTTAGTAGGAGATGTACTTCCACATGTTTATGAAGGTTCTGGTTTTGGAATTTCAATAATTTCATTATTATTTTCTTCTGTTTATTTATCTGGATTTTAACATTAATTATTTATAAATTAACACTTACCTTCAGCTTTTAGACATCCAGAACTATTTAATCCAGGTTCATTACATTACATATGAGGACTAATAGAATTTACACATCCCTTAATGTCACTATTATATCTACAAACCTCTCCTCCATATTATACATAAGAACATGCTCCATAATTAGCATATTATAAATGTAAACATGGTATATTTTATATATCCTTCATATTTTCTATCTAAATACATTAATTATTTTTCCACATACAAGCTGTATCTTTAGTTGTGATAGAAGAACAAGTAATTCGATTTATACCTTATTATATTTGATTACATTAGATATTTCTTAAAGTTTCTAAATCTTATTGATACTATTAATATTCATTTTTAGTTGCATTAGGATTTAATCTAATAGTTAATGTAACACATTTTTATTTTATATTATCAAAATAACAACCTATATTCTCTTCTTTTTCATGTACTTAAGAACATGCAATTGGATTAGCACTTCCCAAACTAGCACATGTAGTAATATATTGAATAACTTCAATATTTTTACAACCTAAAGATGTCCATTAACATGTTTAATCACTTTTAATAATACTTAGACAACCAAATCTATTTATAAATGAAGATTCACAAATATCATTTATTGAACTCTCAATACATAAATGTGTTTATTTATTATATTTACATTTTATATTATTTTTAGAAATTGCCTAACAAACATTACCATTTACAATAAAATTATTATTATCAAATTTTAAAGGACAATCATAATCTTAATTTATAATTCTTCTTTCACAATTATTTCCATTCCAAAAACAATATTAAAAAGGAGTTAATATATTTACACAAGCTTATTTATTTAATTCCATATGACATTAAAAGAAATTAAGCTCGAATTCAGATAATTCTTAACACCTACCATTTATAAAGGTACAATTATAATTCTGAACTGATAAACATGCTAATCTTGACAATCCTGGTGTATCACATGATATCAAATGTATTAATTTTTTTTCAATATTCATACATTTATGATTTCTCACATTATATTAACAAAATCCATTTGATATTTAACATACAGAAACATTAACCAAATTGTAATTAACACACTAAAATTCAGAGTTTTTCTCAAATTTTATACATTTATTATCAACCCATTCACATTATATATCTGGATTTTAAATAGACAAACATAAAGATTAACTAAATTTATTATCGCATGATTTTATATCTGGTAATTTTATTTCCATACATTCATTATCTTTAAAAATACCTAAATATAAATATTTTATATTATACAATATTGATTCTCCTTATTGATTGCCAAACAAGCCTCCTCATTTAATCCTAATTCATAACAAGAAAGTTTTGATAACTAGTCTAATGTTAGTTCCACACATTAAAAATCTCCCTCATATCCACTACTCATACCTAATATAAAAAATAAATTATTACAAAGACCAGATGGTAATTAAGTACATGTAAAAGGAGTAACTGGAGCTGTGAATATGTTACATATTTTTGAATTATCTTATATAGTTTACTTTAAAGGTTAACATCTATTATCCTACCATATACACGAATGTTTTTGCACATTTAAACAAGAGTTTTTGTTGAACATTTCATAGCATCCATATTTTTACAATTAAATTTTCTCTACTGTCTTGCACTTCGATTGAAAAATACCTTTATATTATAAAATATCTAAATTACATTAAATTCTATTGTTATAGCCATCTGTCAATTAATTCAAGCATGCCTCCTTATTAAGATTTGGAGAACAACCTAAATTGGTCTCCATGTTATTACTACATACATGACCAAAATTATCATATTCGCCTACTATTAATTGTGTTCAATTACATCTAATTTTTTCAGTATTCTAAATGCATTTTTAAGCAGAATGAGGATACATATTGCATTTTTAAAGTGAAAGAACACCAAATGACAAAAATGAAATAACAAATAAGGTGTTTGCTATCATTTTTTTTAAGTAATAAAAATATTATATTTACAATTGCATATATATGCTTTTTATATCTGTAAAATTTAAAGGAGCCAAGGTTAAATATTTATATAATTCCATTACTCATTTCAAACTCAAAGAGGTATCCAAGTAGATTTTTTTATCATAAATAAATAAAAAATTAAAAAATCTAGATGCTTGGTTAAATTAGAGAAGGAAAATATAAATATGTTTTTTTGCAATCTGATAAAAATGATGAAATAATAGTAACAAGAATAATGGTTGCTGATGAAGTCTAAAAAGAAAACAAAAAAATTTCTATTGAAGAAATTGAATAAAACTAAAGGTAGAATTTAAAAAATAAAGAAAATACGATTTGTAATTTGAAGGAAATAAAAAAAAAAAACAATTAAATATAAGAAAACTAATTCAAATTTATGGAAAGTATATTTTAGCAGGATGATAAATATTGTAATTCATTAAAAAAATAATTTAAGAAAACAATATTAAGTAACATACTAAATTAGGGGGATAATGAGGTTGATTTATAGATTAAAATAATAAAAGAAATAGATAATAATATTCAAGAAATTAGTGAAATGTTATGTAAAAGAAAAAATGTACCAATATCCCTAAATATGTATGATAGAATTTTAAATATTATGGATAAGAAATATAACGATATAAAAAAGTTGAATAGCTTAATTTTATAAAAATAGGAATCAGTAACTAAAATCCTTTAAAGGCTAAAGTAAATTGAAAAGGCCCTTAAATCTTAATAAGATATATAAAAAATCAAACAGGACAAAATTCAGTTAGAATTAGTGTATAAAAATGTGGAAAAATATTTTACAAAATTAAATTTCCATTTTAACAATACAGATCTATAGAAACAAATCGAAGAATTGGAAAAAACCAAAAAAATATATGAAGATCAAAATCAAGAGTTAAATTAAACTATTACTATACTTGAATAAGAATTATAAAATGAAAAAGCTTAAGCATAAAACTTAATTACTTAGCTTAATTAAGAATTACAAAATGAAAAAGATAAAACATCAGATGTAAGAAAAAAATAAAAAGAAGAAGAAGAAAATGAGAAAGCTAAGACATTATAATAAATTACTAAAATTAAATAAGAATTACAAAATGAGAAAGATTAATCAAAAAAATAATAAGAATAATTAGAAAATGAAAAAGTTTAAGCTTTAAGTTAATTTTATAAGTTATAATAAGAATTAAAAAAGGTAAAAGAATAATCAGAATAATAATCAGAAAAATTAGAAAATGAAAAAATTTAAGCTTTAAGCTAAATAAAATAACTTCAATAAGAATTATAAAAGGTAAAAGATTAAACAAAAAAATAACAAGAAGAATTAGAAAATTATAAAGCTTAACCGTTTAACTAAATATTATAACTTTAACTTCAATAAGAATTATAAATAGTAAAAGATTAAGCAAAAAAATATAAATAAGAACTAGAAAATGAGAAAGCTTAAGCTTTAAGCTAATTTAAATAGTTTTAATAAGAATTACAAAAGGTAAAAGAATAATCAAAATAATAATCAGAAAAATTAGAAAATGAAAAAATTTAAGCATTAAACTAAATAAAATAACTTTAATAAGAATTATAAAATGAGAAAAATAAATTATTGTTCTAAGAATAAAAACTTCAATAAAAATTGCATAGAAAAGATTATGCTTAAAACTTTTTAAAAGAATAGAATTAATAATTTAACAATCATTAACTTCATAAAATTAATGAATAAATGTTAAAATAATTAAATTAAGTAAATATTCAGTTGAAGTAAAATGACAATTTATTATCAATAAATGAAGAACAATAACTTTCATGGGTAAATTATAAGTATTTTTTAGATTGATTCTTAATTACCTGAAATTTAACGTTATTAAAATCTATCTAGTAATGGTTTTGCAATCATTTAATTATTTATTAATTCAATGTATAAAATTTATATATTATTATATAGATTTAATGACTCATAATCATATTTTGGATTATGTGATTAAAATATTGACAACTCTGAAATACAAAATATTAATTTCTAATTAAATTATTTACCAAAAGGTGTATATTTTTTCATTTCTATGTAAGGAAATTTACTCATTCAAGATCCAAATATAAAAAAAAAATTAAAAATTGGAGGATTTGAAAATGGAAATCATGCTTTATTTACTTTCGATTCACCTAATAATCGTTTAACTATATTAAAAAATAACACCTATAGTGAGTAATTCAAATTTAGGCTTCCTAAGAATAATAAAACTGTTATTCCATTTATTCTATAAGCCTATGGAGAAGACTTAACACTAATTATTCAATGATTTATAATATTTATTAATTTTTAATTAATTAATTATAGTGGAGATATTATCAACAAAAATAATTAAAAATTTATTTTCAAAAGCTTAGCGAGGAAATCATTGAGGTAGGCAGCAAAATTGATTGTTTGATATTATAATATTTAGCTTTTATAAATTAAAATCCAACTTAGTTTAATGATTTACTCAGATAGGGTAGTATTGAATCGATATATCGATCTATTTCTAATTTTCTGATTAAATAAAAAAAAATTGATAAGTTGAATGATGCAAATTCAGTGAATTCAGGCTTTTGCTTCTATTTAAAAATACTTTAAACTATTCCACACTATTTTGATAGGATTGAATATAAATCGCACTGCACCCAAAAGTTGTTGAATTTTTTTGCTCTTAGAGACAGGACTGTTATCAAGTATGATAACAAAGTTATGATTTTAATAATGTGCATTTATGAACAGAAAAAATTTATTAAAAAATAAATAACAATTAATAATTGCTTAAATTTTTCATGGGCATTGTTTTTATTACTTTTTGAAAATAGGGGTCTCTTATTACTATTATTGATTAAGGTTAATTGAAATTTTGTATTACTTATTAATAAACTCTGATTTTGTTTTGATCTCCTATCTCACCTGGGTTATTCGATATATATAGAGATGAATTTAAAAGGGAACTGACTTAAGAAAATATAAGAATTTAATTTTCCGAATATTTGTAGTTCTAAAAAACAATTTGAAATAAATGAAAAGATTCATCAAATCAGTTATATAATAAGCAAAAAAATGGAATCGTATTCTTAACAAGAAGAAAAGTGGTAAAATGGCCATCAAGTTAACAATACCAATAGAACATTCAAATTATATTCCAATTCTTTAAAAATATAAATACTTAAGAATTGAAATAAATCAAAAAAAGTCTTCTTTAAAAAAAAATAAACCAAAAACTAAATTATATCAATTTAATCCTTATGATTGTACCTAAAAAATGAATTTACTTAGCACTAAACACTATTTCAGATATATCACAAAAGCAGAATTATTCAACAAAAATAAATCAACAAATAAACAATTAAATTTGAGAAAAAAATAAATTTAGAATTATTAAGAAGTGATATTATATTTTATTTATAATTATGTCTGAAGATAACGAATAAACAAATATTGTCTAAATTTTAGAAGGGAAACAAGCAAAAAATATAACTGGTTATAGTTAAGAATTAACTTAAGTAATGAGTTTTCTTAATGTATTAGCAAAAAAGAAAAATTTTAGAAGATTTCAAAGGATTGAATGTCTATGATGATAAAGGGTTGTTGAGAAGTGATTGTAGAATAAAGAAATATGTGGATGGAAGTAGATATGAAGGATAGCTAGTGGGAGAAAAGAGAATAGGTTTGTTAATATATAATATTAGATAAGGGAGAGGAATAAATTATTATAATAATGGAGATATTTATGTAGGAGATTGGGATGGAGATATGTTTAATGGTTATGGACATTATTTTTTCGTAAATGGAGAGCGTTATAGTGGTAATTTTAAGAATGGTTGTAAGGAAGGATAGGGTAAATATTACTATTTGAATGGTAATACTTATGATGGCAATTGGGTTAATAATTAAAAATAAGGATTAGGAAAATATTACTATTATAGTACAGAAGAATATTATGATGGATAATGGAATAAGGGTTTGAAACATGGGTAAGGAGAGGCAAAATATGCATATGGAGAAATATATAAAGGAGATTTCTAGAATGATAAAAGAAATGGGTTTGGAATTATGAGATTTAATGACGGAGCAAGAGTAGAAGGTTAATGGGTTGATGATTAATTAAATGGTATTGGAAAGATATTTTATTCAAATGGAGACACTTTTGATGGAACCTGGCTAAAAAATCAAAAGAGTGGTAAAGGAGTTTATACAATGTGTGAAGGAAAATAGATATATAAGGGATAATTTGAGAATGATATGATGAATGGATTGGGGTATTTACAATATGAATCAGGAGATATTTATCAAGGATATTTTAAGGATGGTAAAAAAGATGGAGAAGGAGAATTTTATTATTAAGCCTCAAGTAAATTAATTATTTCATTAAATAGAGGATCGTTATAAGGGACAATTTAAGAAAGACTTTAGAACTGGATATGGAGTAATGCATTATGCAAATGGTGATATATATTAAGGAGAATGGTTTGAGGATCAAAAATAAGGAAAAGGGAAATATTATTATAGTATGACAAATGATACATTCGATGGGGATTGGATTAGAGATAAAAAGCATGGAAAAGGAATATACACATTTGGGTATGATAATTATTCTGATTTTAGAAATGGAGATATTTATGAAGGAGAATGGAGTCAAGATAAATGGCATGGTAAAGGAAAGTATACTTCAAAAGATAGAACTTATATGTATGGAGAATTTAGGAATCATAAATTCGTTACTCCGATGAATTGATGCATTTATAATAGTATATATTCTCATTATTCTAATCTTGTACTATCTTGTTCTTCTTCCGAATTTATATCTTCTTCATCTTCAAATTCCATTTCGACTTCATTTTGTTTCTTTACTTTGTAATAATAATAAGCACTGCAGGCTAATGCTGGTATTATTCCCAATAATTATTATTTTCCTTTTAAAACATTTTTAGCTAACATTACTCCTAAAGAACCAACAATGGCAGTTCCAACTGCTGGAACTGCAACTTCTTCTGCTTTTTCTTTAAATGTTTTGTTTGTCCAATTTGATCTAATTGATCTCTTACTGTTAGCAGATTAAGTTTCATCTAATAATAAAATTTTTAATAGTTTTTACTTTTTTTTTTCTTTTTTTCCATTCTGTTGATTGCATTTAATTTACTAAGATCTAATTTAATTTCTTCATTTTATCCTAAGATAAGATTTTGATTAATTTCTTAATCTAGATTGTTTTATTCTAAAAAGGGAAACTAGACTTTTGGTTATGATTTTTGAATGGATTGATTTCTTCTATTTCCTTTCATTGCACTAACCTTTGAATTAGTATTTGAATTGAAAAAAACATTGATATTTTGTTATGTAGTATCTTGTTTTATTTATTAATTTTGGAGTTATAAAATATCATCTTTTGTTAATTGAATTAGAGGTGATTATTTAGATTGCATAATTTCTAAGTTTTTCTTTAGTTCAATTAATTTGATAGATTCTTAAAATAATGAATTATTCATATAAATTTATGATTCTTCATTTCGTTTTNAAGGGACAATTTAAGAAAGACTTTAGAACTGGATATGGAGTAATGCATTATGCAAATGGTGATATATATTAAGGAGAATGGTTTGAGGATCAAAAATAAGGAAAAGGGAAATATTATTATAGTATGACAAATGATACATTCGATGGGGATTGGATTAGAGATAAAAAGCATGGAAAAGGAATATACACATTTGGGTATGATAATTATTCTGATTTTAGAAATGGAGATATTTATGAAGGAGAATGGAGTCAAGATAAATGGCATGGTAAAGGAAAGTATACTTCAAAAGATAGAACTTATATGTATGGAGAATTTAGGAATCATAAATTCGTTACTCCGATGAATTGATGCATTTATAATAGTATATATTCTCATTATTCTAATCTTGTACTATCTTGTTCTTCTTCCGAATTTATATCTTCTTCATCTTCAAATTCCATTTCGACTTCATTTTGTTTCTTTACTTTGTAATAATAATAAGCACTGCAGGCTAATGCTGGTATTATTCCCAATAATTATTATTTTCCTTTTAAAACATTTTTAGCTAACATTACTCCTAAAGAACCAACAATGGCAGTTCCAACTGCTGGAACTGCAACTTCTTCTGCTTTTTCTTTAAATGTTTTGTTTGTCCAATTTGATCTAATTGATCTCTTACTGTTAGCAGATTAAGTTTCATCTAATAATAAAATTTTTAATAGTTTTTACTTTTTTTTTTCTTTTTTTCCATTCTGTTGATTGCATTTAATTTACTAAGATCTAATTTAATTTCTTCATTTTATCCTAAGATAAGATTTTGATTAATTTCTTAATCTAGATTGTTTTATTCTAAAAAGGGAAACTAGACTTTTGGTTATGATTTTTGAATGGATTGATTTCTTCTATTTCCTTTCATTGCACTAACCTTTGAATTAGTATTTGAATTGAAAAAAACATTGATATTTTGTTATGTAGTATCTTGTTTTATTTATTAATTTTGGAGTTATAAAATATCATCTTTTGTTAATTGAATTAGAGGTGATTATTTAGATTGCATAATTTCTAAGTTTTTCTTTAGTTCAATTAATTTGATAGATTCTTAAAATAATGAATTATTCATATAAATTTATGATTCTTCATTTCGTTTTTCGGAATAATTTATATCATTTTAATTAGTTTAATTTGAATTGATTTTATCATCTATTGTTTATCCATTTTCTTTTTTAGCAAATTTCTCTAACATTTTCATCACATTCTTCTGATAAAATTACTTAGTTGATTATTTCCTATCATTTTTTCGAATAAAAAGTTATTGATCTTTATTTTATTCTTAGTCTTGCTCTGAATTAATTGGTGCTTAAAAACTATTATTCATAATCTCTGATGTATCATTTGATTTTTTTGATTTAAGGGTTTCCAAATATCTATCTGTTTAATTCTTGTAAAATTGATGAATTGTATGTTTTTTACCTTTTCTTAAAACTTAATTCTCACTTTAGATGAATTGATATTATTATTTTTTCATCTCTTGATCTGACTCTTATGCTTGATTGCTAACTTAGGAATTATTTTCTTGAATGATTTAACTCATAATTGAAATAACAATAATATTAATAATTTAAATCATCATTAATTATTTTTATTTAATGCCTTACAGAATCCCTTAGATACACAATAGCAACAAGCCCAATCTGGTTTCACTTGTTGTCTATATACTGTCAATTGATGACCTTAATGACAGAAGTCTTTACAAATTTAACATACCCAATGTATTCCACATTATTAACAACTAAAATAATCAACCAATCTATCCTTGTTAAATTTATATGTAATGCATTCTTTAGGTTATTGGCTCTTTAATTTTATCTCACCCATAACAACAATAATTGATCCTTGTTTAACTTGACCTAGAGATGCCAAAAATATCTCACTATTCATTGGATATATTTGATATTATTAAGATATGACATCAAGTTCCATCCTTATTACTTATTGAGTTATCTTATAAAGATCTTAAGGTTTGCAGAATACAATTTTTAATCTAGTAGGATCAAAGTTTTAGATAGGATCATTTTTTTTATCAAAGTGTTAATGAATAACTTCAGCAATTGAACTTATTCTATTGCTGACTTTAAATGGCCATGGAAATTAAGTGTTTTATTATGGTAACACAATTTAAATTAGAATCTTAATATTATATAAAATTCTTACATCAATCTATTCACATTTAAATTATTCTAAAGTTTTATGTACACATTCAGCATAATATTCTTTTAATTATTTAAAACTGTTTTCTATTTGTTTCATTGCCTCCTTATAATTAATAGTAATTTATTCTTTGACTTCATCCTAATTTTATAATTTTATTTTAATACTTCCATGACAACTTCTAACCTTTATGTATATTCAATTTTTAATTCTTATTAACGAGTTTTATATTCTTCTATTGCATCGATATATTTGTTTTCATATATATTATACATTTATTAGACAGCATTTTTAAAGATCTTGATTATTAAATTGAATTACATCTGATATCATTTTATAATCAGGCAAGAAAGTATTAGCAGCTTGATCTCCAAATATATTATTTACTTTATTATTTAATTATTATTTCTTCTATTCATCAATTATTTCTATTATGAATCAACTAATTACATTTTATTTGATTTATTTGATTATTCTTAAAGATATCTGTTTTATTTAGATCTAAGTTACATAAAGGACACTTATGATATCTATTTATGACTTCTTCGATACAATTCTATTTTAAATTATTCAATATATACATAACAAAAAGAATGCCCACATTTAGTTATAAATGCATTATTGAATTCATTGATGCAAACTGCACATTAAAGTTGTTTGATAATTAAATCAGCCTAAGATAAGAATTTTCATATACATTGATCATAAAATCTCCTTAATGTTACATATTAATTAAATAAATTAGACATAATCAAAACACTCTTTGATTTTTCCATTTGATCATATCTTCATCATTATATTCAAAGTCATACAAAGAATAATCTAATTTAATTCCTGATTATGATAACTAAGATAAATAACTTTAATTACATTTGATTCATCTAATGGTGGTCTCTTCAAAGGTGGATTAAATAAATTTAAAGTATTTCTCCCAGTTCTAACACTCCCATCAGGCTTGACAAATAATATATAAGACCAACCAATAACTTCATAATCTCCCATTGTCATTGTAGTATTAGCTCCTCCTTAAGATGCATTCTTTTCAACTACTTAAAATCCAAGGTAAATAGTCTAAACAATATCAATTAATAATATACTTTTCCAGAACTCATAGCTTATTCTTGAAAATTGTAAAAAAATCGATATTCTTCATTAAATTCAATCAAAATTGATCTAGCAGCTTTGTTACTAATACCTTTCATTTAAGGATCAGCTTCTATAAGTGGAAATGGATTAGATTCTGTATTTTATCCTGGATTAGGACTACTAGGATCATGAATAGTAGTATTAAATGCTAATGGTTAACCACTTGGATCCATCATAAGATGTTAATCAGTCAATGCTGCACACATTACTCTCATAAAATTATTGGCTATTTTATTTTAAATGAAATGTATTTGAACTCTATAACCTTTTTTCATATCTCCTTTTAAAACATATTATTTAATTTATGGAGTAGCCTTTCTTTTATTTCCAAACACTTCTACTTCCTCAGTTACTTTATAATTTTAACCATTCAAACTGAATTCTCCATTATCTTTATTATTTTACTCCTTTCCTTCAATGGCAGCTTCATAATTTCTATCAAATAAACTTCTCAAATGTATATAAGGTATATTGTATTCCATGGCAGTCTATTCTGGATAAATTGATCTAACTTATCCTAAATCTTCATCATTTGGATAGGTAATTCTCATATGAAACCATGCATTTGGAATAGGTTCTAATTTAGCAATATTTTCAATTGTAATAGTAGCATCTGTTGGTCCTTTATATAATGGACATTTGAATTTGCCTCTCTTCAATTATCTTTATTAATCAAACAAATCAATTTATGTCCACCCATAAGATTATGTTTTACCAATATTCTCTTCTAATTTCTTACTTACAGGTAATTACACTTCGACTATAATTAATACTTCTGGATGAGCAGGTATTTCATATAATTGACTAGTCTCTCCAATTAATACACGATTAGAACTCTCTCCTTCAATTTCACAATCATAAGGTTCTATTAATTTTGGTTAATTTAATTATTGCATATTATTAAATACTGCAAAAACAAATTATGCAAGTTTAGTTTTTCTAGGTAATCCCAAAACATAATCCCAATGAATAACTAATCCTTCAGCTGGATCATATAAATGACTCTCCTTTCTTGCTTCTCCAAAATCATTCCTTAATCTATTTTCTATTATAAATTTCCTTTGATCATCAACCCATTTATTATTTTCAAATTCTTTATCCTTTTCTCTTCTTTTCTTTTCGAAATTTCTTCTTACTCTTTATAATCTTTATTCTTAAATAATTTTTTCCATTTCAGCTCTCATAGTTGACAATTCTTTATATTATTCCATTTTAAATCTATAAATTTCAGTTCCTATAGGAATTCTTGAAATCATTCTTAAAGAATCTACTTCTTATGCCTGCAAATTCATCAATATTTATTCTTCTCTAGTTAAATCAACCCCTCTCACATTATTTTATAAGAAAAATTCTTTCTTTCTTGAAAATTATTAAAATGGATCATTAAAATCTTTTTTTTTTGGTTTAATTGTTTAAATTTCTTATTATTAAGGATTAATAAACATAGGTTATTATTAAAATATTTAAATTGGTTATTATTATTAAAATTAATTAGGTTATTATTATTATTATTATTAAAATTATTATTATGATTATTATAATTACTACGGTTATTATACTGCTCCTTTATAAAAGGATTCTAAATTATTTACATCATTTAAAAACTTAGGATCTTAACCTCCTGCTTATTAATAATCATTTTTTAATTATTATAATTCATCTATAACTTAATTTGATAAATGAGATTAAGGTCTAGATGTTTTTAATCTATCTACTCTTTCCATTTATTCTCTTTTTAATTATTCTAATCTCTAAGCATCTTAAGCTATTTTTTCTTTCATCCTTGCAATTTCTTCATAATTCTAATGATTTCTTATTTAAGTTTAATCATTCAATATTTATTAACTATTACGTATACTATTTTTTGAAGATTCTCCTCTTCTTACTTCTCCAAAATCTCCTAATTTAATTCTCTCTACATTATCTTAAATCCTATTTCTCTCTGCATCCATATATTCTAATCTAGTATGTAATTTAACTAATTATTATTTTGCTTCTGAATATTAAGCTGATGCTATTATTCTATTATCAGTAACTCTTTATGCTTATTCCATTGAAAAGAATGTTTTATGTCCTCTAGTAAATAATTTGATATCTTCTATTAATTATAATTATTTATTTTTCAAATCTTCTCTTTCCACTAATAACTTTTCTAACATTTATTTTTTTTATTCTTCCAATACAGACATCTTCCATGAATCTATTTCATTAATTAATTTGCGTATCTATTCTTTTTCTATTCTACTTTAAAACTCTCTTTCTTTTTTCAATTCTACTTCTTGTAACAGTATTGAATAAATGTGTTCATCTTAATCACTAACTACTCTCATTTATTATCTGTCCTATTTTAGCTTATCTATTTAATCAATTAATTCATCCTCTTTCTTTCTAAGTACAGCATTTTCTAATCTTTTAAAATCATCATCATTAGTTTTTAGATTTGATTTGATTTAGTCCTGATTTATTAAATCTACATACTAATGTATATCCACCATAATTCTTTAGTGATGATGGATCCTATTATTTTAAACTAGGTTTCATTTCTGGATAGGCAGGTTTTGTAACATATTCATGTTTCTGTTCCAATTTATTTAAATTACCATAATCAGAATTTATACAAAACTATCATCAATTTATGCTTTAATACTCTTTTAACGTGATTAGCCAATTATTCACTTGATTCAAATGTCATTTTACAATCCCTACATATATTCTCATTCATGTATTATATAAAATATTATAATTAAATTTTATTTGATAATGAATTAACAATTAGATGACTCAAAAGAAAGTGTTTAATCTTAATCCTTAGAAAGATATCTATAGGTTGAATCTACTAAGAATTCTCTGTCTCCAGTCAGATAAGTACAAACAACTAGAATTACTTATGAGTCATCAATATTAAAGCTTTAAAATGGAAAATTTACTAATTCATAAACAGTCTTTTAAGATGCTTTAAATAAAAAGAAATCTGAGCTAACTAAGAAGCCATAAAAACCAGTTATTGAAATGCCTAAAAAACCAATATTATAATTAGAAAAGCAAATTAAAAGTATTAAAAATATCAATAATATAGAATTTGATAAAGTGTAATAAAATATAAAGTAATCTTAAATTAAATCAGAAGAAGTCAAAAAGAAAAAAGAAGAGTAGAAATAAAAGGAAGATTAAGAGAAATAGAAAAATGAACCAGTCTTAGAATCTGATGAAGGTAAATATCAAAATATTAAATTTTACAGCATTTTTAGAGACTGTAAATAGATTATATGATTTTGAGAAAAGAAGAACAAAATAATTGTAAAAATTAGTTGATGAAGAAAAAAATAAAGAAAAATAATAAACTATTGCTAGAACATTTATTAATTAAAAGAGTTGTATTCTATTGGATAGAAAACTAAAATAATTGATTGAAGAAGATGAATCATATAAGTAGATTTGTTAATTTAAAGATATGGCTATTTAAGCTGATTTATTACCAAATCTTCCAAAAATTAAAGATTTTCAAATTATTAAGTATAATATTTCATTTATGGAAGTCAAAAGTGTCTAAATATTAGTAAATCTTAATAATAAATTGTGATTATAATGGATTAAGAATTAAAGGAAGAAGCAGAAGTGGCTGAAGATGTTTAATATAAATAGGATTAAAGTCATAAGGTTGTTTAAACTAAAGAGATTAAATATAAAGTGGGTGATACTATTAAGAAATAAGAATAGGGATAATAGTAAACAGAAATCAAATAATTTTAAGAAAAAGAAACACCAAAAAAATAAAAAGTTAATAATTAGCGATAGAAAAGACAAGAAATTATGGAAACTTAGGGATAAAGAATTAAGACTGATTGTGAATACTATGTGCCTATTCATATAAGATAATAATAAATAATATAGAAAAAGTAAGAATGGGTAAGATAGTAGTAAGAAATGAAGAAAAATTAAGAGGAAGAATAAGAAAAATAATTTTAAGATAAATGGGAAAAAGAGAAAGATAAATTCAAGAAAAATAGTGTTGCAGAAGTTAATGTAGAAGAATTTGTTAATTAATAAATAAGTTGGTTAGAGAAGAGAAATGATCATATCTTGACAGAATAAATAAAAAAAGATAAAGAAATTGTCTAATAATTGACATTTAAACCACAAATTAAAAGGAGAGGAAATAATAATATTGATAAAAATGAAAAAGTAGAATTGAGATTATTGGATTATTAATAGAAGAAGTAAGAAAATTTAATGAAATTGGAAAACAAATATTTACCAACATTTAAACCTAATTTAACTTAGAAATCAGTAATTAATAATAAATATCCGTAGTTATTAAGTATGGATTGGGCTTCCAAAAGTTTTACCAATGCTTCATTTAATAATCTTTGGTCATGAATGTATATATAAATTTCATAAATATTATAATTATATAAAATGGCTGATAAAGAACAAATAGCAATGCCTTATTTAAATTTTAGTATAAAATAGCCAATTAATATATTAAGCATTTCAAAATATGTAGAATATTAAATATAGCGAACATTTGACTCCTTAAAAACATAGATCCATGGAATAATTATTAAAATCCCCTGGAATTCAAGACCTCGTCAAAGATTCTATAAAATCAGTTTTAAATAATCCAAATCATATAACATAATATCGATATGAAAACTAAGAGAGATCTGAAAGTCCTATGCCTTCATCTTAATTACCAAAACTTGAGAGATACAATAATACGAATGTATTAAAGTAGATTCATCATCTTAAATAGAAGAAAAGTTAATAATTTATCAATATTAGATGCCAATTCTCCAAAATCTTATAAGAAATCTTACAATCTTCATTAAAAGTTTAAGTAGGGTCGTTTCTTATAAATGTTTCCTTAAGTAGATGGTTAGAATACCTTAAATATACAATCAAAGCCTATCCATGTGATAAGTATTATTGACAGTAACATTAGAAAGGATTAAATTATAGGAAGCATTTCTAAATAATTCTATGGATGCTAGAGCAGAGAGAGATATTATAGAAAAGTTAAAATAAAAGATGGAAATGGACAAATAGAATAGATTAAATGATATTGAAACAGTAAAGGCCTTGAAATTATTAGAACCTCGTAAAAATTCTTAATTGCTTAAAACATCTCGAAATTCTAAATTTGAAAATATATCAAATATGTCTGGAATGTCATAATCATAATAAATTCCCTAAGTAACAGGTCCTATTATATTATAACCAATATAATAATAATAATAAGTAACTAAATAAAAAAAAAAAAAATAAAAAAAATTTGATGGAATTTATTTTATTGATCCAAAATATCCTTAAGATGTTGTATTTTAAGAAAAATATGCTTCAATGAGACATTATTTTAATATTTTGAATCTTTCAAATTGTATATTTGTTTAACCAACAGTAAATATTTACAAGGCATATGTTGGGAAAGGGAATAATGGTATGTTAGTAAGACAAATTTTAAAATCTCGATGGTGGTGGAGTATATAAGATGAAATGGAATAATGTCATTTTGTATGGACACAATTAAAAGTAAATTCAATTCATGAGAATATGAAATCTTTGATTAGAAATCCAAATGAATAAAATACATGTTAAAGTGCTTCATCTTCAATTACTACAATAGGTTCAATTGGACTATATAAATAAGATGATTAAAGTGATAATGAATAACAAATAAAAAATAATAAGATAGTAAATTCATAATGGAGCAAATTTTTATCTTATAATGAGATTAGATAATATAGTCAAATATTGAATGGTTAAGGAAGATTTTCTAAATTATTAACATTAGAATAAGCATAAAATATAAAGATGAAATTAACAATATATAATGAGCCAATAAAAGTTCATAATCATTTGGAAAATAATTTTCATTTAGGAAATAAGAAAGCATTATTTTATAATATGAAAGCTTATTATGAATCATAAAATATAAATGTATTTGACAATTTACCAGTTACTTATCATATTAAAAGTTTAGATGGTCTAGAATATAAATAATTTTTGGATGCTTATAAAGAGAGATAATAATTGATAAATTCTGAATAGGATAAGCGTAGAAATATTTGGATAATAAAACCAGGAGAAATAACAAATAGAGGTAATGGAATCAAAATCTCTGAAGATTTGAATGAAATATAATCAATATTAAATTCAAGAGAAATGCATAAAAATGGAAGTTACAAAACATTTATTGTTTAATTGTATATTGATAGACCATTACTTTACAATAAAAGAAAATTTGATATTAGATGTTACAGTTTATATGTTTCTATTAATGGAAACTAAAAAGGTTATTGGTATACAGAAGGATATGTAAGAACATCAAGTAAGGAATTCTCAATGAAGAATTTGACAAATAAAATGATTCATCTTACTAATGATGCTGTATAAAAGAAAGGAGAGGATTATGGAAAGTATGAAAAAGGTAATAAAGTGAGTTTTGAAGAATTTGCTGTATATATTGAAAATTTAGGAGGTGATTTTACAAAAATTTATTAAAAAATGAAAGTATTATTAAATAATAGTTTATATTTTAGTAAATGGCAACTGATTAATTTAGAGCTGTTTATGGTAAAATGGATTAAAATAAAAAAGAAAATACATTTGAAATATTTGGATTAGATTTTATGATAGATGACTCATTTAAAGTATTAATGATTGAAGCCAATACAAATCCATCAATTGAAATTTGTTGTCCACTTTTATCTAAATTAATACCTTAAATGTTAGATAATGCATTCAAGTATTAAATAATATAATTAAAAGAATATCTTTAGATCCAATATTTCCACCACCAAATTTTTATAATCCTAAAAAAATAATATGTGATAATTATCTTGATAATAAATTTGAATTGGTTTTTGATGAAGTTACTGATGCACCACTCTTAAATTAGAGTTAATAAAATTGTAATATCATATTTATATAATATTTCTAGATGATATTGGCCTTATTGAAGAAGAATCAGAAGAGGAAGAAGAACCTTAATGATTAAAATAATATTAATTTTAAATTATTACTTAAGATGGTTAATTATATAATATACAGATACATAACCTAATTCATAAATTCTCTATCAATTTTATTTCTATTATCGAAACACATATATGAAACTGATTTAATAAATAATATTTCATTTTATAATATGTAAATTTAAACTATTATCTACCATTTAATTTACATTTCCTTTGTTTTTATAATATTAATTTAATTATGTATAACAACAATACAGAAAATACCATTTACACTCTTGAAAATCCACAATTCAAATAAAAACTTTATGAACTCTAACTCATGATGGATCAATATCAATATTCCAAAAAGTATATCATCTTGAAACTTAATCTAGAAAAAAAGTATTAGAGGATGCTAAAATCGTCCTTGAAAATTATAAAGAATTAAACCCAACATTAACAGCTATTAATATATCCATTCTAGAATTATAAGGAAAAATTATTTGTTCATTCATATTCAGTTCCAATAAAATACAATGGTAATATCTTTTAAATATTTATCCTATTAAGATTTCAAATTTCACTTCCATAGGTCTAATCTTTTATATTCCTTAAAAATATTGACAGTATAATTAATTTTATTCTTTTAGCTAATAAATTTGATGCAAATCCATTATATAAATCAGCTGAAATCTAAAATGGATTATTTATTAGTTTTAACAATTTTATTCTCTCTGCCAAAAATTGTAATAAAAATTATAAAATAGTATTAATTCTATATTAATTAGATTAATTTTATGTTTGAAATACAATCTGCCTTATCTTAAAATTTTCCATTTTTCTTAAAAACCTTCCCTAACAATCTTAATTTTAATAAGAACCATAATAAATTATTAGTTAAGTAAATTAATCATAATTTAATAATAATTATAGTTAGTAGTAATCATAGTATAATAATCATAATTTCATTAATAATAATAATAATCTCCATATAATTCTTATTTAAATATTTATGAAAAACAATAATCATAATAATTGGAATAAAGTGAAAATAAATAACAATAAGAACAATAAGAAATGGCTAATAAGTTAATTTAGATGGGTTCATCAGTTTTTGAATTTGGAAAGATATTATTTATGTCATAAGAATAAAATAAAGAAAAAATAAAAACTGGAGTTAAATAAAAAGTAGATATTGAATTATTAAATCAATCTAAAAACTCATGGAATCTATTAAATAATAAAAATAACTAAATGATAATTTGATTGATACTTATTAAATTTAAACAAGAATAATGAAAGAAATTTAATTGAAGGATTAAGAAATTAATGATAGTATTTATAAATTAGATTAATAAATAATATTGATAGAATAGAAAATTGATAATTGTATAACAATACTTAGTAAAATGGAATAGAACAATATTGAAGAGTAATTAATTAAAAATATTGAGATTAACATAAACAGATACTTTGAGTAATTAGATTATAGATTTGACAAATGAGATTTAAGCAGAAAAGGAAGGTTTGTTTTATGTTCAAAAGAAATTTAGATTTGAAATTTAGATTATGAATAATTAATTAAAATAACTAGATAAATGAGTTAGCAAATTTTCGATCAATATTTATTATTAAGAAAATGTATTACTAGTCATTATTGAATTATATTATTATATATTATTAATTTATATAAAAAATATATGATAGATTATAAATTATTGACAGAGTTTGAAGAACAAAAGACTTAATTTTTATAAAGATTTATTTAAAATAAATAAAATAAATAATAAAGTAAGGATAGCAAAACAGAGTTGATAATGAGGAAATTAGAAAAAGAGAGATTATAAACACCATTTGTTTGCTATTAATTTAGAGTAAAGAAACTCAAAACTTTTGTTAAAAGAACCAGTTACAATTCATATTCATTTATTAATAATTAAAAGGTATAATCTAAAGATTAAACTCAATATGATAATAAAAAAAGAAATAACAGCAGTTATGATTTTACTTAACATATAAATTAAGTAGAATTGAATGTATAAAATAAAGAAGTAGATACTTTATTTAGACCAATGCAAGATAGAAGACAAAAGACTCCTTTAAAAATGAAATTATAATAACTCGAATATGGGAAAAATTATCAAAAATTAGTTGATAAAATAATTGAGTTGGATAAGAATCCTATCAATTTTAAAAAGAATCTATATATCTGAATGTTTTCTATATTATTTTATTATTTTTAAATTATCATCATAAAGAATACAATGATACTCTTAATTTATTTAGAGGTTCTCTCTTATATACTTCTAAAACAGTTAATATAATTTATATTTTAATAAATGAGATATTAAATCTTCATTTAAATAATCCCTAGAATAATTGCGTCTAAAAGGACAAACAGCCATTTTTTTATTTTTTTATAGAATAAACCTTTTAAATATCTTAAATAAAATATTATTAATTTTTATTCTATTCTAACTATAATATTTGAATTAGGTTTTTCTAGATTAGGTTAGTATTTGTAAATTTAATTTTAATAATAATAACACAAACAATCAAGAATTATAAGAAAAACAATACTTTTTTTTATAATAAAGAAAATCAAAATATAATATATTTTTGACATATATTTCTGCATTACAATTAGGAATAAACTGAAAGATAATAATAAATAATATTGATTTAATTAATAATTTTAAATATATCTTTCTTACTGCCATTTTTCCCTTATTATTTACAGCTATGTTTATTTAATTTTCTTATTAGATATTCAATATTAATCTGAAATTTATTTAATTCATTATCATGTCGACTCATAATATAATAATAAATAATTATCTATAATGATATTATTTTTAATACTATATTTTTAAATAGTTTCCAGAATTAACATTCTAAAATAATTTATACATTATAATAATAGATTTTATGGACTCAATCATCAAATAGAAGTATTAATTTTTAAGAACTATCAAATTTAAATGAACTTTAAATAAAAATTCTAATCATTTATAGAATATAATTTATTTAATATAATAAAATTTATTTAAGATGTGCTTGACGTGTTTAAAGTTATTGGCTATGGGTTACTCAACTAGATCATGCATCTGCAATAAAAATACGATGTAATTAAAAACCAATAGATGATTATATAATTTATTATTATATTAAACAAACGAATTAATGAATTAACATAATAGTATAATGGATCAACATTTTCTATCCCAATAATATGGTACCATGATAATAAATAATAGAATCATTCAATTAAATAAATAAAGATAATATTTATAATGATGTCAACAAGATAATTGAATTATATAAAAGTCATAATGAGCTTAAAAGTAAATTAAATAAATAATTTAGAAATTAAGTAACATCAAAATTTACTACTTTAGAAATTAATGTATTCTCTATTAACAAAAGCAAACACAAAAAAATACAAACAAAGTTAGTCTATCATAAAATATTGGACAAAAAAGGACAACATAATCTCCTATTTCTATTAAATAAAAATCTTTGCCATAATAATCATTGTATTGTTCATTTCATCAATCTAAAAAAGTAACCATTCTATTTAAAATAAGGCATTCTTGAAATCAAAATTAAATATATAGTTAAGAATTTTCCATCTTCAACGACAAGAATAATCGTAACATCAACATTTTTATTCTCTTACTAAGAATGTATAAATCAATTAAAATAATTAAAAATCATTATTATATGAGGATATCAACTCTTTAGATTTGATTAAAATAGTTAAAATGAATATAAATAGCAATAATTAACTCATTTATAATTAGCCATTAAGTTCTTATTAAAGGAATGCAATAATTTAGTAGAAATATTTCAAAGCAAAGATATTGAAATTTAATATAATGACTTAAAATATTAATTGGAATAAATGTTAATATCAATCCATAAAAAATCGTTAAAATTAATTAATTAGTTATAGTCTAATTTGAATGCATAATAACTTTAAAATTGTTTAGATGAATTAAATTCTATTAACGTGGATATTACTTAAAATGAACAAAATATCTTGGATAATATGTAGATCAAACCTTTTAAGTATTTAATATTAAATATTATAAAGATATATAATGAGAAAATATGAAGATAAATTATCTGGATATCTAAAAATTATTAAAAGTAATGAAGTAAATCAGCAGAAATAATTTATAGATGATAGATTAAAATAATTAACTAAAATAAAAACCACTTTAATCAATTATTTCAATAATCAAAATAAATAAAATTCATTATTTCAATCTTAATAATTAAGTTCTCGAAGAAACTATAAAAATAATAATGTATATATTTCTTCTGAAAACAAAGAAATGTTTTAAATATAATATTATGATTTAATTTATTCCTAGTAACTTAAAATGAATAAGCATATTTTATTAAAGTCTCCAAATTTTCAAAATTGATAATGACTATAAATAAAATTAAATTTTTATAATAATATATATTTTAGCAAGATGATAATTAATTTTTATAATAATTTTTATTTAAATTAATTAATTTGCATTTTCTAAACTTAACCAATAATAATATTAGAAATGATGATTAGAAATAAATTGATACATAAAATATTTTATAATAAGGGTATTTTATTATAAATAATTATAAAAATTAAATATATCATTATTTATGGAATAAGAGAGCGAAGAAATTAGATCTGCATTTCCAGAATATCTCACAAATACATAAGAAGATGGTGAACATGTAGCTATTAATATATAATTATCAGCTTGATTAGTGCTTATAATAATTTGAGACATTAGTTAATAATTACAAAGATGAACAAAATATCTTATCAGCTATTGAATCTAAGATTACTATGGTTGTTAATTAAACTCCAATTTAATCTATTATTGATTGCTATGAAAACATTGCTAAAGATTATAATTTATAAGTAAAATTGAATTTGAAAATAGACTAAAATGTTTAGGGTATCAAAATTTCATGACTAAAAACATTTACCACAAATTCCAATATTAAATTAATATCTTGGATGCAAAATTAAAAGTTTACCTTGGCCTGTTATTGGTGATGTAAATTCTACTCAATTATAAGAATAATTGATTAAATTATATAATTTTAACTATGGGAGAATAGCATTACATGAATTATTATTATTATGGTTTCCTTCATTAATAAAACCATATTTTAATGTGTTAGATAGTTTATTAAATACACAAACAAAATTAACATAAGATGAGAAATATTACTTTGCAATTATGGTAATTAATTAATATTAATATATTTAGGGAGCTGCAGCATCAGGAAGTGACTAATTATATGATTTATTAATTTAGCATTTTTATTTAAATGATGGAGAGAAAAATTGGGTTGAATTAGGATATGAGAGTATTGATGAGAAAATTAAATCTTTAGATACAATTTGTAAAATTCTGATTCAGAAACCTTGGGAATAATCACTAAAAAACACATTATAATTGATAATTAAAAATAATAAGTGGAACAAAAGAGAATTAATCTAAGCATTAATGATATTCATTTATTTTAATAATATAGGATGTTTCTCTTAGGGTAATGGTATACTTAAAGAAATAGATTATACTCTTAAATTATAATCTGGTAATACTAGTATCAGTTTTACATTACCTTAAGAATAATAATAATAATAATAAATAGATCTTACATAAAATGAATATATTATTTAGGAATTAAAAAACTAAGCTCTATTAGATGCTAAGTTTGACAATCCAAATTACTCATCTGAAAAAATTGTATAAGTCAAATCTAAATAATAATCAATTGATGAACCTCAAGAATTATTTGATTTGGATGAAGATCAATTGATAATAAAGTTTAAAGAGAAATTCTAAAAATATTTCACAAATGAGGAAATAAAGGACTCAACTGGATATTAAATATTACGATTTTCTGTAGTGATTAATTGATATTTTATAGGAATACAACTTTTAAATGAACAGTTATCCTGTTTTAAAGTCAATATATCCAGAAGGAGCTTAGACAATACATGATTTTTTATTGGAAGTCAAATAAATGACAAGAAATACATTTGGCAAAGAGTAATAGATAACTACATCGGCTTTCAGAAAGGCCATAAGAGTTTATGCTCAAAATATTTATCGATATTAACATGATGATATTGATTATTCAACCTAGGTACATTCATTATACAATATATAAAGATGAATAAATTACTACCTAAAGAACTAAAGGCTTTTATAAAGATTGTTAGTTTGACACCAAATTTATTATAAAAGAAACATCTAGATATTATACCTTTGAAATTAAGTGCAGATGAATTATGTCATATCACATTATTGACTATTGCTGCCAAAATTGAAGTTCAATTGATATATTTATCTAAAGCTTTAGTAGATTGTATGTGAAAATTCAATAAATATTTTTATATATTTTAATTTATTAATGCACGGTCCTGATATTAGTGATTTAGATATGCCAGATCTTACTTTATATCCATCAACAACAGGATATTCAGAATAAAAGCGTTGTTTCAAATAATGTATAAAAGATATGTCAATCCCTTATTTGAATATTGATGAAGAATCCTGTTCAAGTATTATGTGAATTAGGTAATTTAGAAAATTGCTTATCCAAATATTTGCAAGCTTAAATATTCTTATCTTAAAAGATGACTAATACTTTGACTCAACTTGTAACTCAGGATCCTTCCATTAAAATAGCATTTAAAAAACCATATAAATTACCAGAATAATGAATATGTTTAATTATTTTATATATGTTAATAACTCATGGTTATGGTATACCCAATAAGTCTAAGTATTTTCTTCCCATATGTTTCTTTCCTTCATAACTGACCATAAACATAGATTATCCATCAATTCCCATATCTGTTTCATCAAAATTACCTAAAATATTTATAGAAATTACTATCTTTAGTATTCAAAGCAGGATCTGTTAAGTAATTTCCTACTCCTTGAACATCATTAACCATATAATTGAAATTTGAAATGAAATAAGTATAATATGTATATGCTTATGCAAAATGATTGACATCTGCTTTGTCATCTGAAATAAAACCATAATTATTATTGTACTTAACAAATTCGCCACTAAAGTATCGTTCTGCAATCCAAAATGAATCTCAAATTAAAAGAATATTCTTACTTCCTCTTTATAAATCTTTCAAAATTAAAAAGTCTGAATATGAAACTTCTGGAATCCTGATTGATCTGTCAATTCTATCCCTTGCCTCTTATAATTCTCTAATAAACTTTTTCATTAAACATTTTGAAATCAGATGAGATCTACATTCTATAACAGCTTATTCTTGACTGGAATATGTTAAATCTCCAATTGGCATTTTAATCACATATAATTCATTTTAATTATTCAATTTCTTCATCAAAAACACTTATTTCATCTAACCTTAAGCAAAGTACTTTTCCGTTCTAATACAATCCCATTAACCTTCTTAATAAACACTATAATCCCTATTAATGTCTAGTCTCTTAATATTTTCAATATTCGATTCAAATGAATCTTATTTCAATTCAACCCGATAAACACCAAACTTAACTGGTATAATTGTGACTCCAGGTTATTTGTCAAACTAAAATGGATCTTTTATCGATTTACAAAGTGCCTCCATAGCACCAGTCTAGGATCTTTTATTAGTCTAATTATTTTTTGACCTAGTTCCTCTATTATTTGTTTGAGTTGCTCTTTAAGATGCTTAAGAGACCAGATCGACAAGTTCCTACCATATTTAACCTTATTCTGTATTTTCTAAATCTGCAAATAATAATAATTCTTCTCTATTTGCATTTATATACATCTTCTTTATTTCTTCAAACATTGGTAATGTCACTTTATTAAATAGGATAGCAACAAATAAAATGTTATTATCAATAAGTAAATTAATAGCATCTTCAATATCTTCATTTGGAGATCCATCACTTACTCCACCATTATATCTTTTACCATGAGTAGGAGCATCACAAATCAAAATAGCTATCCTAAATGTTTTGCTCCAATTTAAATTCTTAATCATTTACATTATACCTCCTCTAATGTCTTCTGCTGCGTCTCCACCTCCTTGGCAAAGAATATCTGCCAAAAAATCTTCTATTTCTTGAGGAATTGGAGTGAAATTCATTTACCTGTATTATCCTCCCAAAAATTTTAACTCTTTAAAGTCTTAATATGCCACAGTTGCCCATAAAGCATCTCTGTTTGTCTTTATCTTTATGTTCTTCATACTCTCTTTTATGCATTTCATAGCTGACTCTTTATATCGATCCATAGATCCAGTCACATCGATTAAAAAACAAACCTCAATTTTCCCATGGCTTTCCATCATTTGCCTCTTCAAAACTAAATTTATTTATCTAAATACATTAAGCTGTTCTTTGTCGTTGTTCTTTACCTTTCTACATTAATTCAAAGTATTGTAATTATTCTTACTTCAATTTTTCTTATCTTCCCATTAATTCTTCCTATCTTTACTATTCTAATCTTCTTTCTTCTTTATTTCTTTACTCTTCCCTTGCTTTCAATCTCTCCTCCATCTTTAATGCTTCACTATCTATTTCTAACACTTTTTTTGGATCTGCTTATTAAGCAATCGATTTAAAATCCTTTAGATTCTTTTAATACAACAGCAGATCTTTCTTTAATTCTTCCACATCAATCTGTAATTATTTTATAATTTATTCTCTCTCCTTTATTCCTCTTTCTTTTTCTTTTAATAAAAATGTAAGACTTTCAACACTTTTTTCTAATTCCAATATCTTCTTATCGCTTTCAAAACACTGTTTCTTGGCAACTGATAACTATTACTAACTTTCTTCAAATGATTATTAGGAAGACTTAAGTTCTGCATTCAGTTTAGTTAATTACTATTCATAACCCTATTTTCATTTAAATTCAATTTACTTAAACCCTATCAAAAGAGGCAAAATCGTTTTTATTCATCGAACTTTTTATTTCATCTTAATTTCTATTCTACAATAATTTCACTTAATTAGTTAAACTAAACACTTAAGTCCTGTATTCTGCTATTCTCTTCTCTAATTAACTATTTTATTATTGTAAATCATTTAATTTATCTACTTAATTTGAATCAATGTGTTATTTCATTTCTTATTTCATTTTTTCTAGTTCCAGTTCTTGTAGCTTTGTTTTTACCTCTTCTAATTGTTATTCCAATTTTCTAATATAAAAATTATTTTTATACTTTATTTATTATTTTGATTGATATAATTCTCTATTTATTTCATCTTTTGTTTGGCTCCCACGGTTATAAGCAATTTCTATTTCTTTTTATAATCCTCTTATTTCAAAAGTCTTCCCTATCAAATCCTCTTTCAATTTTTAATAATCTTCCACTTTCTTTTGAAGTTCAAGTTTTTCTGTTTTCAATTATTAAATCTATGAAATATAATCAGCTTTGTCCATATCAAATCTACTAATAATTACTTTTTATGTTGCTAATTCTAATTCTAAGTTTTTTATATCGTTTCCCTTAAACTATGGCTATTTCTATTATAATTATTGAAGATCTTGATTCTGTATATTTTTCTTTTAAAAATGTTCAAGCTAGTTTTTAACTGAGGATAATTCAAACTATAGTGTTGCCTTTTCCTTTTTAATTCTTAATTATAAATAATATAATTACTCATCTAATTCAATCAAAGTTGATGTTAATTTTTCTTACAATTCTTCTTTCTACACTCCTTCATCACTAAATTTTTATTACCATTTTTATACATCTTCTTCAATGATATCTTTTTAATAAAATTATATCAGATACATATTTTCTACTTATATTTTTTTGTTAAAGTTTCTGCTGTCTCAGCATCAAAAGTTGCCTCCTTGTCTATTCCACATGCCTTTAAGGTGTTATCATTTTTCAATATATCATTTTTGTAAACCAAAACAATATCCTCCAATCTTATTCCTGATTTTTCCATTACCTTCTTTTTTACATCATTAACTGTTGTCTTCTCAAGTTGAACATCAATCATAAGAGTTTTTCCATTTGGCATTTATACGTAGATTTACATTAAGGTTAATAAATTATTATATTAAAAATCTTTCATTAGAGAATGCTTTTAGAATCAAATTACTAAATATATTAATTATCAATTTTTTGTAAATGTAAAATATTCAAGATTATTCTGATGATGCTTTCATTTAGAATATTTATGTTTAATCTATTTATATCTAACACTATAATAATTAATTCTTATTATTTTTTATTATTTATACCATAATTGTCTTTCAGTTAAACTTGTGATAATATATCATTTCAACATAATATTGTTTAATTATCAAATGATCCCCCTTATTTCATCTATAACAAATAATTAAAATTTTGAGGATGAAAATGAACACAAGTAAGATGTTTACATTTGATTTTTTAGATCATTGCACGTACCTTTATTTCCAAATAAAAAGAAACCATTAAATGATACTTAATTAAAATTATCAATTAAATCTTCATCATTAACATATCTTCGATTTCAATTCAAAACAATCTTAGAATCAAATAAAAGAAAAAGAGAATTAGAGATTCTAATACTCAAGGACTTAATGAAAGTTAAAACATAAACTTAATATTATGGGATCTCTTAAATTTGGATTTAATAATACAATCACTATTTATATAACAATGGTTAAAAACCAGATAATTTAAATAATACCAACAGCCTTAACTATGCAGTAGTCAACCATGCTGTCTGGCAATTTTTGAAGGAAGAATATAATGGGTTCCCTGAAATAATTTGTGAACCAAATTACTCTAGAAATAATAAAAAAAAGCAAAATCTAAAGAATCTGTCAAAAGGCATCAATCCCAAAATATTAAGCTATCCAACTATGAAGTTCCATCAGTAGGATTCAAAAATGATTCATATAATTGCTACATGCATGCAGGTTTGCAAAGCCTATTAAGTATTGTTGATTTTAATTATTTTTTTATTAAGTATGTTCTTAGAATTATCACACAAAAAAATAATAATAATTTAAACAGCATTCAAAAGAATAAATTTATTAGCTCATATTATGAACTCATTTAATAGATAAAATCTACTAATTCTCCTTTTAAACTTAATTCACTTTAATCTCTGATAAATAATTAATTTCATTCAAAATTTTAACATGATTGCCATGAATTCTTACTTTATCTTTTGGGATAAATTGAGGATGAAATATTTAAATTTTACGAAAATACTGAATCTAATTTCATTAATCCTATTCAATAAATATTTAAAGGTAGAATATAATATTTTTTATAGGAAATTTGAAGTCAACCATCAAAAGTTCAGTTTGTTAACATAAAATAAATTAAATTGAACCTTTTCTTATATTATCTTTAGCAATATCACACTTAGATTCGCTAGAATCATCTTTAAATGATTTTTTTAAAGAAGAATTTCTAAGAGATTACTTTTGCCCTAGATGCAAAGCTAACTGCATAAAAAAATTGGAAATCCTTTTCACTCCTTAAATACTTATGTTGCATTGAAAAAGATTTTAATTTACTCCAACATGCGTAACAAATATTAAAACCATCACTTATCCTATGGATGACATGCATTTTTTAAATAAAACATATCGATTAAAAGCTTTTGGTGTCCATATAGGAACATTATAACAAGGCCATTATTTTTCATTTGGCAAACGCTAACACTAATGGTTTTTATTTAATGATGAAATTTTGAGATCGTCTTCAAAATCCTAAGTCCTTGAATAAAATGCCTATATTTTATTTTATTAAATTAATGATATTGTTTGATAACTATATATTTCTATTTACTAAATCTTAATACATGACACACAATCAATTTGTGGAAAATTACTAAGCTATTCAAAAATAATAATTTTTATAAAATCTACTTACAATCTTTTTAGCAAATACATATTTTAATAAATTGTTTTGCTTTTTAGACATATACTTGAAACTCAAAATATCAAAGAACTATAATTATAAATATTAACTATTTAAAAAAAATATTTACACATGGTTAATATAATTGAAGTAAAAATATTATATATTATTGTCTTTAAATAGTATAAAAAATCAATTGATCATCAAATTATAGTCATTTAAATAAAAATAAAAATACATTTTTAATTTTTATAGAATATTTGTAAATTGAATTATATTTTTGATTTAATCACCTTGATTAGTTGAAAAGATATGTTATATCTTCAGAAATACAAGACCTCAATAATTAATTATGAATGCCTTCAAAATTCATGTTAAATTCGATGAATTCAATATTAGAATGTAATAAATTAAAGGGGTTTAATAACAGGCTTAAGAGGTGTTTAGATAAGTTCATAAAAAAGTCTTCGATTATTTTTAATTCAAGAAAGATTAAACTTTAGTAATATTGTAAAAAAATTTATAATGTTACATATATTAATGAAACTAGTTTTATTAACGTATGATTATCTAAGTTCATATTAATTATTTAAAATATGTAATTAATTATGTAGTATGGTTTAATTACATA